TTCAGTTTCTCCATTAGCTTGAGGGTAGCGTACTGGTGATTTTTTCTGCAAAGTGTTTGTCTGCCTTCGACAAATTTTGTAATATGAAGAAGTGAATCTATTTTTGGATACTGATTCCTGTGGGATTCCTTCTTCACTGAAAACAGGATGCTGAGAAGTAATTGCAGTAGTAACTAAGACTAAGGGTAGGAATGACTAGCAGCCAACATCACATTGCAGGCTCTACCCCATACTAAGTAAATGAGGGTGATCTGAGTGATTATTTAGGCAATCCTCACTCCTCCTGCTCACGGTCACCTTGTTTGTATTAAGTGTTTTGAAAGGGTTGGGACCTATAAGCAATTTAATTGCTCAGCCTCAAAAATAAAACGTGCCATTTTTCTCAAGTCTGAACTCAAGCTATTACTTCTTTCAAGAGATAAACACTTTCTCTTACCTTTTATTAAGGCTGGTTTGCACTGTATCTCTCTGAGATTAATTTGAGCATCCATTGAAGTAATACTCTCTTAATATTCTGCACCACAAAGAAACATATAGGTAAACTTTGCATGCCATAATGTAAAATCTGGGAAAGGACCTGATGTTTCTATGTTTCTGAAGGGGAAATCACCTTTTGTATCTTCAGTCGTATGGCCTGAGTGAGATTTCTTCTCAGTTGGGAAAATGAAGCACCCAAGTGGCTTTGATAAAGTCTGTGATCTTTATAAACTGTAAATTACAGTATTTAAAATTCCCTGTACCTTACATGGTAATATACGTAGAGAGATAAAACCAGTCTTTTCAGAGATGATACGGCAGTCTACATAATTACTGTACTTAAATAATAGATTAAAAATTCTGCAGCTCATCAGTATTAAAAAATCAGTGTTACAGACCACTTGGGATGGGTTTCCTTCTTGGTCAGACAGGAGGAAAGAAGGGGGAAGTTCAGTGTGATCCAAGATCGGCGTTGTGCAGTCATGCGCAGCCACTGGTGATAAAAACGAATAGACCATGCAAGAGATGTTCACACTCTCTTTTCCTCTCTTCTCTCAATATATCTCTGCTTTGTGCAGAATTGCCAGATTCTTGAATGCCACAGTCTGGAGAGGAGTTCATGTTTAGAGGGAGAGAAAACCCCCAGATAGTCTCCTTTCCATTTTCTCTCTCTCTTCCCCCCCCGCCTCCCACTCCCAATTTTTCTATTTTTTTGGCTCTTTTTTTCCCCCTCTTTTTAAAAAAGTCTAATATGGCTAAATAATATTTGTGCCAATTTACCTTAATATTTTGGGTGGTAAATAGCAGCAGTTCACCAACTGCTTCATGAGCAGCTGGGGATGAGGACCACTGAAACAGCTGCAAGATAAGCTCCCTCCACTTGTGAGTCAGTGTCTTTGGTGTTATGGTAGTCAAGCTGCAAAGACTAGTTGGGGCTGGTCCTGAAGGCACTTCAGTTACTGGGCCCTAGTAGATACCGGTAATAATTAAGACAGTGTCTAATGAGAAGGTTTAGAAGCAAAGGGAAGATTGGAAATACTGTGAGTGCTGTGGCTAAAATAGGTACAATGTGAAAGAAAGCAGAGCGTGCTCTTTTTTGGAGAAAACTCTGGATTGGGACTCTTGCCTGTGGTAGTCCTTCTGTCCAGTCATCTATTAAGGACTAGAATCAGATTAAGAGCACATCCCTTCAGTGTTCTTCAAATGCTGTTCAGTCTTATCTCTGCAGCTTCCTACAAGTTCCCTGCAGACTTATTATGTCTAATAGTGAGGCATCCCTTGGCTACAGTTCTGGGGTCAGTGTTTTTCCCTAACGTTGCTTTGCTTTCTTAGCTGAGGCGAGGGGTTCAGAAAGCAGATAGAAAGGAAAGAAGATCTTTTCTTTCAGAAAAGATAGAATATGGGTGGGAATGGTGGTGCCCTATTAGCAAACTCATCTCACCATAACTGTGTTCTTGTATGCATTTGTATTGCTCTCCCATTTTAGTGTCTTTAACAAATATCTCCTTCAGAGAAACGGAAGCTCAATCATTAAAATAAAGGATATATGGGAAATTGAGTAGTTCTTAAATGATGTGAAACATCCATAGGGGAACAGGGGATGGCAGGGAGGGGAAATGGCCAGTGACAAGTGCAGAGAAGCTGCCTGAAGGAGGGGAGGCATAGGAGGAAGAGGTGATGAAAATCCAGAAGGAAACAGCAGAGACCTAGAAAATGGGGACAAGAAAAAGTCTGATAAAGTAAAAAAGGAACAGTGAAGAAGAGAAAAAAAAAAATTCAATTGTTTTCTATGAAGGATTTTCAAAGAAAATATCTGTTTACTAACAATGACATTCTTCCTTGTACTTTAGTGTGGCACCAGTCAAGTAAAATCATGTCAAGTGTAGTGCATTAGGAGGTAGGAGAGGGATGGAGTGGCTTTATTGACAGGTAGGATAAGAAACTTGGAAAGTCTGGGTGGTTTTTCATTATCTGATTGTTTGAAATAGCTCTCTACCTTCTACAGCCTGACTGAAGTCTGATTTGCTGTGTCACATCATCAAAACAAAATCACAGTGTTACTCCTTACCTAGCTTAGGAGCCTGGCTACTCAGATATTCCAACCTGTGGATTTCTTACAAAAGGATGAGTTCTGAAAGGATGGGGCGGACACGCAGATCCCATGTTACAGCCCTACTGAGATTTTTTACTCTAAAGTAAAACCAAATTCCTCCTTTGATATTTTGATTAGCCATGAAACAAAGCTGCAAACTACCTCCTGCAAAAGGAACCATGGGAATGTCCCTGTTAGGTTTTATTTGGCAGGATTGGGGCCAGAGTGAATTATGGCAGGTGGTTTCTTTGTACTGCAAAGGGAACCTTAAACTGTCTTTGAATATGAAATAGGAATATGCATGCTGTCTATGTACTGTTTAGATAATACTTTGAAATGTTGTTGTTTTCTGTATATGCTTGTTACATCTGCAGCTGACCTTTGTAGGTATATTACTTAGAATGCAAGCGCTAACCATTTTGATGAGCCCTCTGTATCACGTCGGTATTAGCTCAACATCTTTATCAAGAGCCTGCTTTTAATAGATTTGTTTCAGGGATGGTACAAAATGAAAATAAGCACATACTTTGTTTAGATTCTTGTTACCATCGGAAAGAAAGTCGAAGAAATCTTACGTTTTCCTGGTTGCAGGCGGAGTAACGTGCACTTTTATTTCCCATGCTTATCTGCTCACTGCACAAAGAGCCGCTCGCACATGGTGAACTCCTAGAGGTTACAACAAAGCTGGCTTCTCTTCGGCTGGTTTTAGTGGGGTTGAGCCCTTCTTCAGGGAAGCTGATAAGTCAAACAAGTGGTTTTCCTCTTTTCCAGATGGAGATAAGAAATGATTACTGCCAAATTAGTAACTTGTTTGTTGATCTTCTAGCATTTACTGTCGTAAACCTTCATCTTGCGCAGAAGTAGTGGTGAACAGTAATGCTGAAGTTATTTCTTCTCCTCAGTAACAAGTTACTAATCTACCGCTTGTTTCCTATTTTTTCAATTACTCTTTGGAAAATTCCTGCCATGAATACCTATAAGACCACCATGGAAATAATCTTAGAAAATAGATTTGCTACCTGATAGGATCATATTTCCAGGAATGTTGTTGAGCAGAAGTAAAAACTACTAAAAGCTTGTTTTTTGAGATCCCATGCGAATTGCATATAGATGCTGTGTCAGGTCAACAGAGCATATTTACGAGAAGAAATAAATATGTGCTTACCACTTCCTTAAGTACTATTCTTGGATGCTTGAATTTATTCAGATGTGTGGGTGGTATTCTTAAAATTTCGAAATTATATTACATGCTTTCATCTCCCACAGTACGCTATTTGCTACCAATTACAAAAACATCAAAAGGTAAAAATTTTGTCATTCAGTAATTCAGAAATCTGCTAATCTTGTGAACTTTCTGAGCCCCATTACCAAAACCTTTGTCTATCCAACAAGTGAAATCGAATGTCAAATGGCTTTTGGCATGCTTGGTAGGAGATAAGCAAAGAACCTTCTATACATTTTCTATTCTTTAGGGAATTATCTTAAACATCAGGGTTCATACCTTGCACTTGCCAGTTTCCCGTTCTGCTTAATGGGCATGGGCTAGCCTCCTTTGCAGAAACATTTGATGAACGGGCTTGCTTTTTTCCATCAGTTTAGTTTTATTTTCATTACTTTTCCCTATAATTCGTTTATTGGATTCTGTATCTTTAGAGAATTTTATTACTCTGTTATTCAAGCTGAAAAATAGCTAATTTTTCTTTCCCAAATGAGTTGCTTGAAGCAAAGTACCTATGAATACATGGGTATTTTAATTCACTTACTAAATGTATACAGAGAAAATTTACAAGCAGCCTTTTTACCATTTTTTAAGTGTCTGCTGACTGTTGCATAAGCTAAATTATTTACAGTATGATGCCTCACAAAAGAGTAGCAGATTTGGGTTATTTACTTTCCTGATAAGAAAAAGGGATTGAAGTTGCTGTGATATGCTGCTTTGTTAATTTTATATTTGTTCCCCAGTGTGTAAAATCTTTTTAAAGAACTAACATGAGTATTGGCAGACTCTTTTGAAATGGTATGGAAGTGGTAAGATTAAACAAAACATGAAAAGGTTTTAAAATTATAAGTCAGCAAGTGTTTGATAAAAATAAAAGTGCTCAACAATAGAAAACCTTTAGGATGCTTAATTTATTTGCTCTCTCTTTGAGAATGGCCCCTGCACTCCATCTGGGAGTAGTTCTTGCGAGTTACGTGCTTTGAATGATACCAAGCTGGGTATATTGAAACAGTGTTTGTACAGTATAATGAAAGCCATCGAGAATGGTCATGCTGAAGATCTCCCCTTAATGAGGAGATTAAAATCCATGGTGAGGTTGAGGAGTGAAATTTGCAGCTGTGTCGCTTGACGAGATCCTTTGCCTGGAACGTGTCAGTCCTTGCTGTTTGCAGGTGTACAGAGTCTTCACAAGGTTTCTTGCTGCCCGTGCAGGTGCCACAGACCCGTCTGACACCGTGGCTCCCGTCATTGTAATCCCTCCACAGAATACAAGCATTGTAGCAGGGAAAAGTGAAATCACGCTGGAGTGTGTGGCCAATGCAAGGTATTGTAAAAGCAGCGGGGTTATAAGGAACAAATTTTAATGCACTGTCCTTTACTGAGAAGGACATAGGAAGTTATTTTCCATTTTTCTTATTATTTTAATGATTGAAGCAGAATGCAGCATGTAGCTTGCTCTTCAAAGTAACCTTACGAATAATCTTGTTTGTCCAACATTACTGAATTAAACATATTGATTTTTCTGGCCAAATAATGATATAGGCAGAGTCACTTTCCCCCCTGTTACTCACACGGTAAGGAAAAGCAGCATGGTGGTGTTCAATCAGCAGACATTATCTTAAGGAAAAAGTTATGTTAAGGGTTAATAATATTTCAGCTGTATTGCCTATTGACATGAAAGGTGATATTGTTGAACAGTCTGTGCTTTCTAGTAAATAAATTAGCGAGGATCTCCTATGAAGTAATTTATTACAGATGCTCTCATTTTACAGTGATTATTGCTCAACTGTTCATAATGCACCATAATATAGAGTTCACAGCATTCCTCCTATGTTTCCATCTAGTTGGCCTTGAATAGCATTGAATTCCAGTGGAAATGAATAGTTGAGGTCCTTAGATGGTAAGAAGACCAACTGATTCGCTTTCCCCCCTGAGGGCAGAGTTGTTCTCGATATGGTTAATATTGTTTTGATAATTGAGTTATAATGAAAGCACTTCCCGTGCAGCTGATTCCCATAGCGGTATTTACTCCTTTTGCTTAGAGAAATCAAATTATTAGTGCTAAAGTTCTATTGCTGTATCAATTAGCTGTACTTGCATAATGCCACTTGAGTAGTCTGTAGTCTTGATATGTAGAAGTTATATATGCATTTACTTCTTGATAGCGAATGTCAGGGATAGAGGAAACTTACGGAAGTTTTATAATCTGTATATAACTGCAGACAAGACTGTTCTGTAATATATATATTTTATTGTTGTATTCTTGTGTGTGGTTTTTTTTTTTTTAAACCTCGGCAGACCTCTTGAGAGACTAAGCATGACCTGGAAGAGAAATGGAGTAAAAATAACCAGTGGCATTAGCAGTTTTGGGAGACGACTCACTATCACCAACCCAACCTCTGCTGATGTGGGGATGTACTTCTGTGAAGCAAAATTGAGAGACAGCACAGAGGAACCAGCAAGAGCGAAAGCCTTCCTTTCTATAATGGGTAATTCTCAAGGCAATGTGTTTTTTAGTAAAACAGGCTCTGGACTGAGGTATAATAGGAAATAAAATTGATATTTTAATATTTCATTGACCTTACATTTGAACCTTTCTTTGGAGAACGGAACAAAGGAGGTGAAAGAGGGTTATCTTCCACATTAATTCAGCTGTTCTTCCCCATGAATATAAATTCATCAAAAAGTTTGTGGTGTTTTTTTTTTTAACACTGATGTGATTCTGAATCCCTTGTGAAACTATACGTTTAATCAGAAGTTGGGGAAATATAGTAGTAAAATCGTTATTGGGCAGCTTCCACATCTTGGCTCTTAGATGCAATAAATCCTGATTAACTCCCAGCTTACTTACATCTAGTTTTAATATGTCAAGTGCCTGTATTTCCGAAAGAAGCCTTTTAGGAGCACTTCTGTGCGTTGCCTGTTGCAAGTGCCAGTCAGGGGGCCAAGGACGTTCCTGAGCATAGAGGCAGGCGATATCATTACTGAGGTAACAAAAGGGAGAAGGAAATACCGTTAAAATTGGTGTTACGTGCTAGACCTTTGACTCCAAGGGAAACTTGGGACTTAATATTTTTAAAGGGACATTAGTGCCCTTTCACTGCCTGTTTCCACCACCACCTCTGTGTTGGAGTTTTGCTGTAGCAAGGAGGTTGTCATTTGGAAATGGTAGTTACAGTGCATGTCATGTCCTGATATAATAAAGCAAATTAGCACTCTGCACACAGTATAGAGTTTTTAGGACTTTTAGAATAAAAGAGATGTTTTAGAACAGATACATTTAGATGTTTTAAGCCAGAGCTGATTGTGTAAAGTCTAGCTTTTATGTAATAGTCCCAGTAATAACTGTGCAAGTGTCCTGGAGAGGTTATTGCTCTGGCAATGATACAAGTTTCAGTGTTGATCAGAAATCATGCACATGCATTTCTGTAGTGTGTTGCAGTGGGAATTCAGCACACAATTCTCTACACTCTTCTAGCCTTCTGAAAATACAATTTTAAAGACTGCTGTATGGTCTGTATTCTACTAAAGCAATTTATAGTAGTTCATGCTAGATAAGAAAACAGCTCTTCTCTCTACAAAGCCCTGTTCCAGGTTCATTTGTAGCACTGTGTGTCTGTTATATTTATTACTTACTGGATGAAGTTTGGTTCCAGTCTTTTTCTTTGTACTCTGTTTCTTAGAATTATTATCTTGCGGCTTCCCTTCCCTTTAAGGAGCAGAGACGGATTTCACTTATTTATGGTTTTTGTTTAAACTCTCCCTTATTCATAAGATTTTATGGTAACTAGCTTCACTTTGCTGCTTTGCTGTCAGATCCAGCCTAATGCAATACTTAAGGCAGCCCCTCAGTTAATGTAAAAGATTCTTAAATACAGTTACAATAAAACTGAGAAACAGTCATTGGGGAATCATATTAAACTAGCAGTGCTGCCTTTCTTTAGTAGCTTATCTGCTCTCTGATTTTTTAAATGTTTTATTTATTTCTTACCCAGTTTTAGGGGGCTGTCAGGGAATGAAGTTATGAAAAGGCCTGTAGATAAGAACAAGCAGATGAAAGAAAGCAGAAACAAATTGGTTACCAATTACTTTTATTTCCTTCTGATGGAACAAGACACTTCAGTTGCAGGTGTTTACTCAATGTGTCAGCAAAGCCTGATAGATTTCTTTATTTATGAGTTTCTTGAGCTGCAGGATGGATCTCTAATTCTAAACAGAAAGCCAAATCAAAGGATTAGTAGTTAATGCATAACTTATATTCAGCCTTACAGTTCTTGGATGGTTCTGGCCATCGTTTAATTAGTCAAGGGACAGGTTCTAGAGGAAAGTGCAGACAAGATTGAAACCTAAGGGTTTTTGCAGTGTATCCCTCATAGCCTACTGGAGTAGTACTTACAGAAAATCAAGTATGCTTGTCCATTTGCATGTATAAAATATTTGTAGTGTGTACATGTTGATAGTGACCTGATAATGAGCTGTGCTTCTTGGGAGAATAACACAGTGTGGACTTAATAAGGAGTCTTGACAAACAGAAAAAGGAAATTGTGTTAATAGAAGAGGTTGGTTTTCAAAATGATTGGGATAAATCAAATACAGACCCTCAATAGTATGGTAATGAGAGCTTTTGTGGATTAATAGAAAAAATATCTTGCTATTAACTGGTAGAATAGGAGTAGCGATAAAAAGATGTATCGAAGATATCACAAATACTGAGTTGATCGAAGCTTTTTTACAAATATATCAGTCCTTGCCTTTCCCAGCTAAGAGAAGTCACATAACCTGAGTGGGGGCTCAGATGGTGACAAGAGCTTTATTAGAAGGCAGTAAACTTCGTACAAAGGCATGTGCTCAGTTCAAATTATTATTTGTGATGTACAATGTTATCTCTGAATTTTTTCTGAATATTTCTGAGAGTACATCTGAGATTGTAAATTAAAATCACAGTAATATTTGAAAAATCTGAATCTCTAATATAATAAAGTAGTACTGCATGAGCAAGAAGAAAATCCTGTAGTCTTGTGCTGCATTGCAATTTTCTTCTCAATGTGGCAAAGAGCTTTCTGACATCTTCATATTGTTCCAGCAAAGATAAACTGAGGTGGTTCCAAACCCTGGTTTTATTAGCTGCAGTTGTTATAAATTTTTAAAGGGTAGCATGTTCCTCAGTTGGCAGAGCAACAGTTTGGGAAAGATTTGTTGCAGATTAGATAAGAGCACATTTGTTTTATCACTAACAGTTTGAAGATTAAGTAATTTAAGGAGTCTTCTCGTGAGCAAACCAATTTGAACACTGAGCTAATCTTAAATTCTTCTGCTCCAGTTCTGCAAGTTCCGTTAGCGACAAATTGCAACAGTCATTTTTTAAGTGATTGTTCTATGGGAAATTATGAATTTTAGGAGCTTAAGAAAATGAGGAATGAAACTCTTCCACTACATGAAATCCATACTGGTCTTTAAATCAGATGCAGTCAGAAAGTAAAATCTGAACAAACTGAGGAGAAAAACAATTAGAAAGAATGGCCTGGTACGATGAGGTGTTGAAGCCCTGTTGGCCTGGCCAAAGGAATAGGATGGAATAAAGCAGGATCACAGTAGAGGGCTTCCCTTCTTTTCGGAGCAGTTTTGTGCCCAGAACAACTGCATTAATAGACATATTATTCTCATCTTGGTGTTTCCTAGAGAGAATTTTTACCTCCCAGCTAGATAGATTTCTTTCTGAAAATAGGACGATAGGGGAGTGTGGTAGGTCTGTCTCTCTCTTAAAGGCTACCCTGGTTCGTTCCCATCAGGTATGGATACAAGGATCGTGGGATTCAGGAACACATCAGAAAAATTCTAATGTTAATATGGAGGGCCCACCTGGCTAGGCTCTGAGGTGAACTATAGGGCTATTCCTCCTTCACTGTACTTATCCAGGAGCAAGGGTGGAGATGCAGAAGGGCCACCTTTGTGCATTGCCGTTGTTCATGAATTTGCATTGAATGTATATACAACTGCCAGAACAGAAGTTATTTTCCTCTGCAGCTAGCTACCTCGATACCTTGTGCTCCGATCTCTGGAAACAATAGCTCTTGTGGCTCTAGCTTAGACACTTTGAAACACTACAAATGATGTCTTGAAAGCAGAGGAAAGAATTGTTCCATGATAATTGCATTCATGTATTGTGCTTAAGAAACAGACCATGATGACTGTGTTCGTGTACTGTGCATAAGAAAAGAATAAGAGTTTTCAGGAAAACTATAATATAAAATGTCTTTGGACTTACCTGAACTTCAGTTTGGGCTCAAAGCAGAGAAATGTTGGCAATCTTTCATTTGGCAAGCCTCTGAGGTTCTTGAGATGGACGCAGACATGTTGCCTTGGCCTCAAATGCGCACAGGACCTATACCACAGTGAAGTAATGGGACTTCTGGGGAGTCTAGTTGTGTCTCTGACATTCAGGAGAAGTTCTACCTTCTTTCAGTTCTGCAAACAGGAGATGTGTTCCCTGTGCTGCTCTAAGGTTTTAGAACACACAGACTGCAGCTTGCAGGAAGGGTAGCAGCAAGAAACTTAAGAGTACCTTTTCATCTCTTTCTGTTTTAACCTGATATTCATGCAAAGAAAAATCCTGTTTCAAGGAACCTGTTATACCTGCATACACAATGTGGCTTCTCTCAGCATGGTCAGTCTGATCTGCTGTCTGGAGTTACGGACTTTGTACCTACAAGGGGCTCTCAAGTTTCCAGTTCCCCTTTCTCTACAGGATATTCACCAAATAAATTAGTTTATGGCAATGCTAGAGAAAGGCTTCCATGTTTAAGGCTCAATTTTCCTCTTAAATATGCAGGCCTGAATTTCTGAGTGATGCAGGAATTTCAGCTTTGGAGGAGCCCTTGGGGCTTTCTCTGTTCTTTCTGACTTTCATGTACGTATCTAGGATTAGGTCACACATCTCCAATGCAGCTTGAAGGGTATGTAATGGATGCTGACTGCTATCTTTTGAATGTTAAAATCAGTGACCATGGAACTCTGTGTGTGGGAAGTTAAAACAGTATCAAATTTCGCAGGCTCCCAAGGGCTTTGCAGAGAGGCTATCTTTTCAATGATGTCTGTAGTGCAAAAAAACCCTGAAACCCTCAACAACTATTAAAAGCGTGCATTTATATTCAAATATTCTTTTTCCCCTTTGCTTGTTCTTGACCTTTTAGTTAAGATCAGTCAAACACCAATACAATATCTGAACAATACAGTATCTGTTTCTTTCAGTGTAATATGAGATGTGACCCCTCTCACTGCATGGCATGCTGCACTGCCAGCAGGGTGAACTCGGTGTAATGGGGCCTTTCCTATTCTAACTGTTGTGATTCTATAATTTAAAAAAAAAAAATTAATGTTTGACCTGATACCAACAGACTACTGTCATTTCTAGAAATCGCTGTGTCTGGGGGCTTGTGTCTGGCATATTGTATAGTTTGGAAGACATTGTAATTTCACCAAACATATTAAATTTCTACACATGATTATTGCCCACAACAATAAATGTTCAAATTCATATCGCGTGATTCAAACCAAGCCTTATAAATATGCGGTAGAGTCATATATACAGACAGCCGGAATGCCCCTTCAGAATGCTATCTGACCCCTATTAATATTACTGCATTTTTATGGCCTTTTTCTGATAGTTATTCACCAGGTAGAGTATAGCACCCAAACTGAGATGACCTGAATTTTTCACTTGCAATTTATGCTGGGTCTACAGGCCCTCAGGCACACACCTGATGTGCAGATGATACATCTGACTCATCTGAAAAGTGAGGAGCATAGATTTCAGTTGGCTAGCACCTGTAACTAGAGCTATTTCTTCCACAGCCTGAGTTCTGTTGAAGCCATAGACCCTCACTGCAAAGGACCTTTTGAGCATCCATGTTGCTAGCATAAGACACGTGCATGTGGAAAGGCAGCACAGCTTGCATGGAAATCACTGTTTCATTTCCCTCAAAGTCCCAGGAGTATACCTGCACCAATACCGCTGTGATTCTCTCATACCTTAAATCACCAAGACTAATTTGCCATGTATATTAGACTTGGGATGCCACAGCACTGTTGTCCACATGGTATTCTAGATCTTCCAGAATTCCCTTATGAATTAGCCTTGTCTTCCCACCCAGGCTTGTCTCTGTCTCCAGGCAGCAGAAGCAGGTAGGTAATCAGTAAATTGTAGAGTTGCTTCTGGAAGGTTTTCTGTATCTGTGCTTGTCACGCAAGAATAAGATCCGACTCCTCTACGGGCAGTTGTTGCCTCAGCCTCTCGACCCCTCTGTGTCAATTGTAGCATTTGGCAGGCTTCCAGCTGCTGGAATGGCTGTGAGAATTGAGTTCAGCAGGCTTTAGTGTAAGGGAAAAGGTGGGTCTGGGCTTGATGAAAACTGGAAATCGTATCTGTTGGCACACCTACACCCTGAAAGTCCTCTGGGAGTTGTCTGTGGCCTTTAGATTGCATCTTTCTGCTGCTCCTGCTCTTTTTCTCTCGTCTGCTTCCGTTTCTCCCTGCTTCTTTCAAAAAAAGCTGATGTGAATCTTCCTTTTATAACATCACATCCCATTTGCTAAGTGACAGTTGTCACTGACTTCAGGTTCCTTGTCAGGTAATTCATTGCTTGATACCTGCTCACTTAAGCATTTCTTAATGTAATAAATTTCTTCGAGGGTGGCATAACAGCCTGTATGGGATTTAAAGGAAGGAGCACAGATTGTAGGATAGGATTTTGGGAGAGGCACTGGGAAAGCAGACTGTATAAATATGCCGAGTATAACCGCAGAAACTGTGTGCAAGAGCAGCACATAAGCAGTAGTCATGGAACCACTAGCATGGTCACATGAAGTGCTTTGGAGCTGGACTGCAGGCCCAGGTTGAAGATAAATCTGCAAGTTTATCACTGGTGTGTGAATATGTTGCTGATCTAGGAGAAGGTTTGAGAGCTGGTAGCTGAAGGTTGCCAAATTTAGAAATTGGCCCATTAAGGTCTGAGTGCCTTATAAAGGGGAGTGTGGAAGATGTGCAGTCAGGAACTCCCTAAAAGGAGAAAAATACACTTGAACCTCACTGAGACACCCACAGAAGCAGCCCAAAGTTAGAAGTGAATGTCTGGATGTGGGGCTATGTGTCTGGATGCTGTCTTGCTCCTGTGCTGCTTTGGCTGCGTTTCCCCGTTGTCTCCCCTCACAATCAAATGAAATTGCCATAGAACGAAAGATGCAAATTTTAGTTTGAGAGATGGACAGATGGGTGCTTACTTGTGTGTCCACAGACAGATACATAAGTAAGTAAGGACACTAGGCTAAAAGTTTGGAAATTAAAAAGATAAAATTCTGGAAAGTGGAGCGCAAGGAAAACATCAGGCAAGGCTTGGAGGATGGCGTGAGAAGCAAAAGCTTACTCAGAATTAAACATGGACTTAGATGAATTGCAGAGGACTCAGCAACTTAGTTGATCAAACATGTCAAACTGTGTGCCATCAGTGAATTTCAATTAAATGTTCAGCTTTTCAATTTGTTGTTTAGATTAACGCATGAGATCATATGCAATAAATCACAACTTATTATGCATGTTTATTAATAGCTTTATATTTAGGCAGAGAGGATCAATAATGTTAACACATGTATATTATTAGAATGTAATAAATCAGGTAGCTTGTTTTATTGGTTTTGCTGGGTAAATGAGTAGTCCAGGCTCTTTTGCAACCTCACCTCCTCTGCACAGGGTTTTGAGGACTAATATTGATTGACTTTATTTGGAATGAATACAGAATTGTAATATCCATTGGTGCTCAAATGAGACCCCAGTTCTGTACACTCAAACAAGTATTTTATTGTAGTTAGTGGGAAGGAGTGCTGGGAAAGGGGTTTTTGCATTCTAATCCGGTGCTTGCTGATGTGTACCTGCTGGCATGTCACTGTGAAATGCTAGCAACGCTTGCTATACTACAGGTGGTAGCAGGAGAAATAATAATTTGCAGGATAAAATTATGGGATTTTGTTTTTATTTATGAAAATACTAATGTCCTATCAATAATATAAACTGCACGTCTGGTTTTCAGACATGGTTGGTGGAGAGATTTGAGAGAAGGTTAGCTCAGATGACGGTGGATCTTGTAGCTTAAGACATTTTTTTGAAACACACTTCACTTCCTTAAAATGAAATACAAGTAACTTGTTCTCACAAGCTACTTACATGGTCTTTTCTGTATTTTCTAAAACTTACCAGTGAGTTTGTCTATGGTACAATAGCACTCTAGTTATAATCAAATAAAATGCTTCTAAAAACAGTACTCGGATGATAATTGCATTGAACAGACTATGACAGTTTTTAGTTACCATGATAATTACTGCAACCTTAATGCCTTTGGGACTTTGACATGATGCTCTTCAATTTTATGCTGCATAGAAGAAAGAGTTACATGACAGCATACTCTACAATTTCTGGAATCTTGTCTTTGTTTAATTAAACGTCTAATATCTTTTCTTTAGTCCTAATGATAAAGTGTGGATTTTTATGATTATTACTATAACTTCAATTAAAGCATTAAATCTGTTTGCTTTCAAGAAATAAAACAGTTGAGAAGAGTTTTTTTTAATTATGCTGCACTTATCCTCTGATGTTGGCTCTCTGACGTGCTATGGCACTTTGTTTGACATGCTTCATGCCTTCACGAGGTGGAATTTACTTGAGATACTGAAGCAAACTATCCTATAAAATGCTACGTTGTACAAATCTCTCGGGAGGGCCCTTCTGAACAAAGAATTAAAATGTTCCATGATTCAGACCTATAAAATAAAAAGTAGCCCCTGCTCTGAGTATTAATTTGCAGTACAAACCCCTAAATCTTACCTTATATTGACTTGACTCTTTGGAATTCATACTCGGCATCGCAAAAAAATTGTTGGCTTTTTTTATGATGCTTTTGCTACCAAAAAAAGCGCCTCTAAGTAGAGACAAACTTAGGCAAACTGGTCTGTTTGTAATACGCTGTATTAAATACAACACGTGTGGAGAGATTATATGATGAATATCTTTAAATCAACACCTATTTTTCATTTTGCTGTGGCTTGCTTTGTTTACTTTTGTTTGCTTTCCCTGTTCTAAAGAAGCACCATATTTTACGGCTGAGCCCGAGAGCGTGATTTTGGCTGAAGTGGAGAAAGACGTGGACATCCTGTGCCAGGCGATGGGTGAGTGTGCAGAAGTGGTCAAACTTGGATGAATGATATATTTAGATCCGGTACTGAAGAAAGCAACTTATATAAACTTTTAATGTTTTGAGGCCTCTGCGTTATTGCTAATTATCACAGATCCCAGGTACAAGGGAGAGGGATGGCCTTTGCCCTTGGAAAATTGGACAGTCCTTGTAGTTTAGTTTAGACATGAGTAATGCCGGCAGGTTCATGTTTGTCTGTTGGGCAGGGCAACTCCTGCTCTTTTCCCTCCGGTAGCCTGCCTTTGCTTCGTAGTCGTCTCTATATAACAGACATCAGTGTCTTGAGCCAGAAAATTAGCTGAGGTGAGTATGGTTATGGAACCCATCATTTGCAATGCAAAAAACAGTCAATATTTTCAACAATTCAAATGTCCTTTTTTCTAAAAAGTATGGAACTTTTATACTGAATAGAGATGTCAGTAACTCTGGCGTTTAAGTGTAGTTAAGAATTTTGCAGAAGGACTATTACAGGCAGTTTTTAATTGGCAGGTGTTTTAATAACATAAAAGGCTTCAAATGTCTAGAATTTCACCTAAAGCAAAACGGTTTCTAAGATTTAGTTCCAGAGAAGTAGAAGCACCACCTATTTTAGCACGCTAGTAAGATAGGAGGCATCGTAGTCTTGTGATTAGAGCCAGTTTGTCTATGTCACCAAATTGCTACATGACTTTGGCAAGCGACTGAACTTTTTGTTGTTTCACTTTCCCTGATGCTGAGTTTAACAAGCAATACATGTAAAAATGCCATGAGATCCTTACGTAAAAAGTACACAACCTTGATTAAAAAAACCACTCAAACCTAACTAACAGCTTGTTTGGATGGGTTCTTTCTCCAGATCAGAGCTGATAAAGATATTCTTTATTGCATGATTATATTATTTCCACTATGATTTAAGCAATTTTTTGTATGCTCTATGTAGGAAAGAGTCAACACTGCTTTTCTAGAGGGAAGCTTTGCAAATATGGTAGTCTGATAAGCAAGCATGTGTGTAAGGGTGCTCTGGCTGATGTAGAATTACAGAAGCCCTTGATGAGGTCTCTTACCAAAAGGCTCTTATAAAAATGAAGCTATCGGGTTATAAGAGACAAGGTCTTGTTAATTAATAGCTTTCTAAACAAAACACAGCAGGACCTGCTGTCGATGGAGTTCCCCAGGAATCTATGCTGGAACCTGTGCTGTTCAACATACTCATAAATGCCCTGGAAAAGAGGGTGAATAATAAGATGATAATATTTGCTGATTATATAAAATTATTCAAGATAGTCAACATTAAAACTGACCGCAAAAGAGTCGCAGAAGGTTCTGATGATTTGAACTGACTGGAGAATAAACTGGCAGATGAAATTATTGACAGAGATGAAATTACCCATTACTATGTAGAAAAGGTATGTCTTCTGAAAACATCAGTTCAGTGCCAAGCCATGGTTCAAAATGTTAGGTACTGGGAAGAAAGGAATAGAGAGAAAAAAAAAAGAGAATGCCACTGTATGAATCCATGGGGCAGCACCCCCATCTCAAATACTTCACACAATTCTAATCGCTCTATTGGAGAGAGGGATGTAGAAAAACTAGAAAAGATAAAAAACGTAGGAATGGTATAATTAGAGGTCTACCATGGGTTTTGAATAATGAAAAATTAAATAGACGGGAACACTTTGTGAAAGAGAGGACTGAATGCCGGGTGCTGTATGGGAAAGTGAATAGGAGAAGATGATTCTGTATTGCTTAGTGCAAGAAGTAGAGGAGGCAGCCAGCTAAATTTTCAGGTAGGAGATGTACGGTAAAGGAAAGAGAGTACTTTTTCAGAAAACATAAACTGTGGAGGTCATTCGTGCAGGGAGTAGTTAAGATCAGAAACAAAACTTATTTAGAAAAACAAACAACATTTATAGGAGAAAAATCCAGTAAGGACTATTAAACACAGCTGTGCAACCTCTGGCTCAAGAAGTAGCTAAAGCACAGATTACTGGAGCTGAGAAGGTGGAAATAGCATTTTGTCCTTGGACTGTTCTTGCATTTTGTGCCTGAGCATCCAAGACAAGACAATTTCAAAGGAAGGAAAAGTGACTAGATAGACATTTATTCTGGCCATGTGCCACCAACTTTGTTTCAGCGTGTGATATGACAAACATTTTGACATTTTTTTATTGGAGAAGATTTTTCAAGTAGCAGAATTAAAACTAAGTGTTGTATCATTAGAGAAATTGAGTTAAAAAAAACATTGTGAGATTTTTTTGAAAAATGTTTCAATCCTGCACAACTATTTGACAAATCTCTGGACTATCTCACTGTCACTGAAAAAACCTATCTGCTGTCTCAAATGTTTTTCATTGCCAAAAAACCCCAACCCAAAACCTGGAGGAATCAGGGAGACAAGAGCTTGACTTCAACTCATCCTTCTACCCTAACTCTTCCTTTGAGCAGTTTAACTCCCAAGGGGACTAATAGGGCGCTCATAACCATTCTCAGCAGATGAGGTCTTATTGGAGATATGGGAACCCTTACTAGAGAAAATAATTTATTTCTGCTGAACTCTTTTAGTGTACATCTGATTTGCTGATGAACGTGGTGCAGGAGCATGGAAACCTGTCTTCACATGGATTATTTTGCTGAGTATCTATAACACAGACTTGTAAGGGGCAGGTACTAGTATTAAACAGAGAGGAGTGTTGATCCATTATTTCACAAATCTGGCAATTGCCAGCATTTAAAAAGAGGGTAAATGAAGGTTGCTGTCTCCCTGCTTCGAGCTAGGAGCCTAGAATAAAGCACTGGGGGAACTGCCAAGCTGCCCTGTACCTTTGCTACAAATAGGAAGACAGATTGTATATCCCCCAGCCCCATCAAGTTCTGTGCACAAAGCCCATTTGCCAAGTCTTGGTGCACTTTGAATGTGTGAGAGACAGATTAATTTCACAGTATAAGCAGAGATTAACTGTAAATAAAATTGCAACTTGCACAGACTAGCTTTATACTTCCCTGTAATGGAGTTTCAGTGTATCAGACAGCACAGTAACCATGCTCTGCTGTATATCTTTCAGCAGTTGCTGCCTGCATTTTCAATGGGTTTCCTTTAAATGCTTTTTCTTATTTGCTTATAGAAAGTTTAGAGCCGCAGGCAGTGGTGGTGGTGTCTAGGGAGTGCAGTTAATTGGACTTTAGTTCTACCTGTTTAGACGAGTAGATGGAAGGATGCTTTTGGGATTCCCCACTAGGCCACTGGGATCTAGAGAAGGCTATAAAAAATAAATAACAAAAATGACACAGTGAATATTTCGAGTCTTTTATCCAGGTTCTTAAGTAAGTTAAATTTGGCAAAGAGTCAAGCATTTGTTTCACAGGTGGGGAAACTGAGCCTCAGATGCATAAATTATTTGCCCAAGGTTACAGAGAAAGTGGCAAAGCCAGAACCAGAGTCTCAGTTTCCTGCCGTCCCTTCTCCTCTATAATACTAGATTAATTTGTCCGTGATAAATGAATAGTGCTGCATACATGCTGAGAAATAAGCTTATTTTATTTATTATTACTAATCTTTTAGGCCCCTCTGTAATCTCTCAAACAGTAAGGTAGGACTGATACTGCTTGGAAAGGTATAGTTCGAAAGGTCTTTAAAGTGTTTCCTTCTGTTCATAATTTTTTTCACCAGAAGTGTTTAGAGAGAAAAAGGAGCAAAATTCCTTTTGGGGTGTGGGGGGCGGAAAGCTGTGGGGTAGGAGAGGAGGAGAAGAAAGGAAGCTGGTTTTAACCATCTTTATAGCCAAAGAGGTAGCAAAATGATAAAAGAAAATGTGTACAACTTGGAAGACAAATCTCTCTGGGAAGATCACTAAAGCCCAAATGAATGCTGCTGACAGGCATCAGAGTGCTTAGATAAGATCCTATTATTCAGACTCATAACTTTGAGTAGAGGAAGATATCTGTAACTGAAATGTAGAAAAATAGAGATGGTAATATTCAGTTTGTCAGCTGAGTTGGTGATAGGAAGGTGTATCTCACAGTGATTATAGGATTAGAAGGTTTGCTAATACTGTTAGTAGAATGGAATTTATAGAATGACACCAACGTTAAAGGTTTGAGTGTACTGAACGTAGGATTTCATTATTTCCTAGGTGCCTATCAAGTCTAATGTGTGGGGAAAATGGAGTTGCTATTATTTAAACTTGAAATCATTTCCAGGCTTCTCAGCACCAGGAGAACTATTCCATTTTGCATCATCTGTTTCTTCATTACTCAGTGATAATTTGTATTTGCCCAGGAGGATTTTCAAGAGATGAATAACACTCTCGCTGAGAATTCTGAACATTGAAATTTACGCTAATTCTGTATATGGGCTGTTGTATGAAATCTAAATTATGCCTATTGCAAGCTACCACACTACATCTATTCTCTACCAGACAATGCACTCTACATAGTGGATTTCTTCCCGAGATGATTACCCTCTAGATTACGAGTACATTTTATTTGATCAGCAGAACAAAAGCATCAGAGGTGATTGTACTAAATGATACATGTTTATAAAAGTAACAGCAGCAATTGAATGTTGTTTTTCAATTGTTCCTTACGTTGTTTGTACATTCTTTCCAGGAGTTCACAAAGCTTTTGTCTGTATAAAGAGAGTAAGTACATTGAGAGAAGATATGAATGGAAGTATAATACAATAGTATTTAACTTTGAGATTTTTAAAATGGTAATGATGATAATATGGATCTTCCCGTAGCGCTTTCGCTCCGAGAACCTTAAGTCATTGCCAAAATTGCAGTGAGATCCAATGTCTGCAGATGCTCAATTCATCAGTGACATCCCATCCTTGATGCTTCTGCGATACCCTGCTTTTCTCTATTTGGACAAATTTCACTCACCCATGAATTTAAGTCCACAGTTCCTTACCTTATTACAAGGGAATGTGAAGCTCTGAGGTTTTAAGTGATGTGTTCAAAAATAGTTACCGATTATGAAAATGCCATGTTTGGGGCTGAGATAACTTAAATCAGCTTGATACCCCTGTGATTATCCAATCACATAATAAAATATCTGCTTCATTTCAGATCCTTGCATAGGGCCCTCAGTATTTGATCAGTGAGGGATTTCTGGAATATAAAGATAAAACATTGTCTGATGTGAGGAGCAGGAAGGGAACATCTGTGTATGACTGTTCTAGGCGCCTGACATCTCTTGAAGAAAACAGAATCCTACACTGTTTGTATAGACTAAATTTACAGCTGCTTCATCCCAGCTGACTGGGATATGACCGCAGCAAAAACATACATGAAATAACTGTGTCAGGGTTTGTAGAACATGCACGTGAAAGAAAACAGGAATAAACGGGACTGTAAGTTTTATCTAGGGTAGGATTTTTGTTTCTCCTAATGTCTGCATTTTTCAAATAACAGGTGAAGCTTGAGAACGAATAAAAATAATAATAATTTAAAGCTATCCCATTGTTGGCAACATGCTGTTTGTACCTCAGCTCAAACTAAGCTGCCAAATTAGGACTCAAATACAGCCATGTGAGCACTTCATTTTTTATGTATAATTTGCCATTTCCTTTTTATTTTGTCATCTTGGCTACAGTAGCACAGAGGAGTCTTATTTGGGATGGAACAGTCTTAAAGACTTGCTGCATTGCCACACCGCTGCTGTTTAAGTAACATGATTCTGGCTTTCAACATGAAATTGCTGTAAATCTTATTTTGTAGTAGCATGAAATATGATTGGGTGAAGAAAGTAATTTGATAACATGTTTTCTCAACATTCCCCCTTTCACTGTTTGCTGGTTTTATTCCCACATGTTCTGCAGTGTATTATTACTGTTGGTAATGTAAGATGCAGCCTCCATTTATCAAAAGCAGCTTGTAAAAATATAAATAATTGGTGTGGAAGGATGGGAAACTGGGGATATGACCATAACAGCGCCATGTATTTTGACTACCTAAAATGTGTTGCGCAAAGACAAATAGCAAAATTATTTTTTTCTTTTCTTTTTTTTTTTTTTAGGTGTTCCCATTCCCACTCTGGTCTGGTATAAGGACTCTGTTCCCCTCAGCAAGCTAGAAAACCCCCGCTACAAAGTACTGCTGAATGGTGGGCTGCGGATCCAGGCGCTGCATCCTCAGGATGCTGGAATCTTCCAGTGTTTTGCTAGTAATAATGCCGGGGAGATACAGACGTACACCTACCTGGATGTGACTAGTGAGTAAGGAGCTGCAATAGAGACCAATGAGTTGTCTTGTCATTTCTATAGGTGACCCTACATCCATCAGATTTCTCCACCGCTCTGTGCTTGTTTAGTGTGACTCGCAGAACCTTGATTTTCATCAAGTGTAGCTGCCCTATCTGTAAGGTACCCCAAAATGCCCTCTGTGGCCTGAACATAATCTGCTGAAGGCTGGAGAAAAACTTTCCATGATGTTAGGAGAGTTCATCTCAAGCCCCTATTTCATGCCACAAAAGGAGAACTTAGTGAAAAGAAGAAGAAAAAAAAAAAGTTAATTGTGTAATACTTTTATCTCTCCTTTATACTTAAATAATTTAGTTCTACTCTAATGTAATTTGGTTCTGAATTCAAGCTACTACTTCATGACTGTGCGTGGTATCATTTTAATCTGCCTTTTGTCTACAACTACATTTAGTAGGGGAAAGAAAGAAAGTTCAAGTTATGTCTTTGTTTTTTTTTTTTTCCTCCAAAAAGTCTGATTAAATGGTTTTGTTAATGAAGTACACTTTTCTCTATGGAAGAATTGCAAATCCTAGTAGTCTCTTTTAAAAGCAATTATTAACAGGCATAATCGTAATACTTTAATTCTACTTCAGGAAGCTGATTTTTTTTAGCCCAAGAGCAGTTTACACGTTCTGACCAGAATTCCTACTGGCCTCAGAAAATACATCAGCCCCAGTTCAATATATATCTAGGAAACTGCAGAAAAAATGTAAAAAAAAAAAATGCAACTGGGGGAAAATAAGAGAGAAAGAAGCTTGGAAAATGTCTTGGATGAGACTCAGGTTCTAAATTCTTTTGGCTGACATTTAAGTTTCAAAGTTAATGCCTTTCTCAAGTTGCTTTTCATCTTAAAGAATTCTGTTATGAAGATGAAAGAAAATAGTTTTGTTTATCTAGATTTCTCAACTTCCCCCCAAACGCTCATTTTGAGCTCTGTCTTCCTTCATCTGTAAGCTGTCTTAGTTGTACATGTACAAGCACTGATAGATTTTTACTTTCCATGTAGGTAATAAACTGAATTAGGCAATTCCTAGGAGATGAATAATGAAAGGTTACAGTCACTGCCGAAAGGCTTTCATGTATTATTGTCATGTCCTTCTCCATGATCAGCTCTATAAAAGTGGATGTAGAGTAGTCCATGATAATAGGTAAAGGATCTTTCTGATAACTAATGCATTGAGTTTTTAAATTTTTTTTTTTTTCTAGACATTAAACCAGCATTTATACAGCCTCCAGAGGATACCACTGTTACAGAGGGAATGACCGCAGTGCTAACCTGTGAAGTTTCAGGGGCTCCAAAACCTGCCATCTCATGGAAGAAAGGTAGACAGTTATCAAGTTGTTGTGGAAAAGCTGTAATCCATGTTTTCTTGTCCATTCTTATTATTGGGATTCTGTAGATCCATTTAGTGCATATTTCTTCATTTCTCTGGTTCTGCGAGCAGGGGGTTTGTTGTGGGGCTGTTGTGAGCCAGTGGCCTGGATAGGCTGTAATAGTCTTTTGGAAGAACTAGAATTGCAGTGCTTAATCCGTGCAGTCTACGTGACACTAATCATGCTGTTTTTCCTTCTGTGTTTCAGGAAACCAGATCTTAGCCAGTGGCTCAGTTCAGATTCCTCGGTTCATTCTTCTTGAATCTGGAGGGCTCCAGATAACACCCGTTTTCCTTCAGGATGCCGGCAATTATACTTGCTGTGCAGTCAACTCTGAAGGAGCTCTGAATGCTTTTGTGATGCTGACAGTGTGGAGTAAGGATAATGCTTTGTTTAAAGCCTAACTTTAATCAAGTATTAATCAGTTTTTGTTGTATGCTCAGGAAATTTTCATAAGTAATTATGCTTTTCTAGTTAATAGAGATACTTGTCTGATTTAATAGGAATAATGTGTCTATTTTAGGAAACCTATCGCAAATATCCTTTTTGATTGTAAAATTATGCATATAAACTTTTACATTTTGTGAAAGGAAGTGTATTTAAATAGAGCTTGAATCACAATTACAATTTTACTCAGGTTTTGCCTTGGTGAATCTTGCATTGCAAATCAGACCTTTTAACTTGTAGATTTGGCTATTTGCAGTTGGTTTCTGCCTCCAGGAGTCTGCAGGCAGTATAGACCAGCCCATGCTGTTACTAAAACCGTGGCCACAGTTGCAATGGATATGATTTTCCTCATACCTTTGTATTTCTTTGTGGCTCTGGGCACTGTTGGAAGCCAAATCAAAGTACAGCAGACTTCAGCTACTCTCTCATGCTACAGATTGGCATGGCGCAGGGCAACCCATGAAATGATTTTGTCCTTCGCCATTTGCCTTGATCTTTATTGTTTTAATTTCCTCTGTTGGGGTAGAGAGTCTGATCTAACAGGTTCACCTGTGTTACTCCTAGGTGAGTTAAATTTAAGTGTAACGTGTTTTTTGCTACTAAAGCTAGGAAATAATGATCCCTGAGCTGGGACTAAAACTAATTAAAAACAATGAAGATGATAAGTACAGAAGTGTTGTGTCCCGCTCTCCTTTCCTGTGCTTAAAGTACTGATTATGCTGCTGATGTGTGGTGCGTATTTGACATTTGCTAATCCCAAAACTGTGCAAGTTAAATCAGTAACCTTTTGCCTTTTGAACTTGGGAATACCTGAAAACAATACTGGCAGTAAATGTAATGTACTTGTGTCATATGGCCATCGTATTTATCTTATTGACAATGTAGAGTTGGTATACATATCAGGATGTTGTATACTGAATGATATCCAGGTGTATGGATCAAGTAAAGGAGGTCCTTCCTATTAATTCTCAAAGGCATGGTTCTTATATGTATTAAAGATACATATAAAGTTCCTGTTCATTGTACTGCACTGGAGGGGGAAAAGAAAAGTGAATATAACCTAATATTTGTGTAGCAACAGCACTGTTAATAAGCTAGAAGGCATACATAGGTACATCAGGACTAATGCTAAAAATTCCATGCTATTAGAGTTAACTCTTGATTTTGCTGATGCTGCTGCCTTGTGCATATAGGAGATATCTCAGTAGACGCCGATTATCTCTGTAGGGATTTGGGGCTGATTAACATTATCCACATATCTTCTATACTCATCCTAGTTGTCTACCTGCTTCAGCTGCTGCTATCTGCTGCTGCTACTGTGTGTTAAGCATAATAGAGATCTTTCACACCAGATCTTGTTGCTGTAGTTACAGCAATTATTGTGTTCTGGGTCTCCAGGAGGTGCTTCAATAAAGATGTTTTGAAACATTTGAGTAAACAGCATATCTTTCTTACACAGAGAATTCGGACTACCAGAAACACCTCTTTCTTTAACCTCTTTCCTGGATTTGACAAGATTGTAGGGTGTCATTTAAGTTTTCCTCTTTCTGGATGTTTTTTTAGTGTATTCTTCTTTGCACAGGTTTTCTTTGGTTTTGTTTTCCCTGCTCCAAACAGTGTGACTTGTCTCCTGACTAAATGTATGTTTGGATTCATCCATAACGCATTGCAAACATACTTGCTACTTTATGACTTTAGGGAGTTGCCATAGACGCTTACCACAAGACAAGTGAGAGTTAGCACAGCTTTAGCGCTCTTCCCACTCAGATCACTGCCGACTCGGACTCATGCCCTCTGCTGCTTTTGCTTCTCTGCACCCCACAGCGTACCACCTCTTCTTGACACAATGACATTAGAGGGAGGGGAGCCTTCACAGCAAAGACTTGAAGAGGAATGGCTTGCTTGCTTTGAATGACAAATGTTCAGTTGCCAGCTCTCTGAGTGAATACTCAAGTCAAAATGCTGTAATTTCACCTGAACTATGGCTTGTGTTCCTTTCAGATCACACTTTCATTTTTCGCCCTCCTGAGGATAGCACTGTGATCAAAGGAACCACAGCCACTCTGCGATGTGAAGCGACTCATGATCCTAGAATTTCAATCAGGTTGGTGGTGTCAGTTCTTGTTTGTGTGGTTTATCCGAGCTTAATGTTATAAGCTATATGAATAGCATTAGGTGAAAAGTTTCAGGACCCCAGTTTTTAACACCAGACCCCTGATTACTGCATTATAAGGTTGTACACTGTATCATTAATCATATAAATCCCATCTTCCATTTCAGCCTTATGTATTATTTACAATGAGCTATGTTCCACTTCACGACTTCAATATAGCCTTCCATGATTTTACTGTCAAGGTTAATACACTATCAATAAAACCAACTTGTCAGAAGCTGATACTTAATGAGAGTAAAAGCCAAAGAGAGGGAATAGGATTTCAGAAGAGTTTACATTGGGGTGCATGAAGCAACACAAGAGATGCCCATGTTCTTGGAAATAATTCAATAACTAGGGGCTATATTCTGCTTTAACTGTGTAAAGGAAAACACAATTTGTCTGACCTATTAAAATTTGTGCTAGAGCACTTACAGGAAGCTCGCCATTTTAAAATAAATTTACCATGAAAATTCATGTAGTCTGAAAGCAACACAAATGAAAGAAAATGCAAGGAACAGCTTGGAGGGTGCTAGAAGGGTGAACTGCAGAAAACTTCAGAAAGAGAAATACAGGTGTAAAAATTTCATGTAGAGGTACTTAATTGTAAGACTATGGGCTATACACATCTCTGACATGTTGGGGTGTGTGTGTTTTAATGGATGAGCTCTAGTAAACCTCGTCACAGCAGGTGACAAGGTTTGCTGATTATGGCAGTCTAAGGTTATTACAGTCTTAGCAGAGATGGGCCAACACCTCAGCTGTTAACTTTAGAGTATGATGTTCTAGTTTAAAATGCTGACAAAGGTGCACTTTAGAACTTGGGCGTGAGTACTTCACCTCTCCCATGTAAAATATATAGTATTGTTTATAAAATGTATAGTAACTTGGATGCAATTACATTTCTCATTCTGACCACTGATCTGAAACTAGAATTTGTAAAAGGCACTGTTCCTGAAAGTAACTGTAGGGCCCTGTCATTTTTAACGTGTGATTATAGAAACTTATATCTTATTGCACAGTTCAAATAAATCTGTTTTGAAGTTCTTGTGAGTAATTGTTAACTGAAGCATTGTAATACTCAGGTATGTTTGGAAGAAGGACAGTGTTGTAATAAATCCATCCAGCAGTTCCAGGATCACAGTAGAGAAAGATGGAACCCTCCTCATCAGCCAGACATGGTCAGGTGACATCGGAGACTACACCTGTGAGGTCATTTCTTTTGGAGGAAATGACTCCAGAACGGCTCGACTAGAAGTGATGTGAGTATTCCATCTTAAATATACACTATGCTTGGTTTCAGATACCCTTGGGCATTTTTCTAGCATTTCATTCTAGGAGATCTGGGAAGTCTGTAAGTTTGATTTTTGTTGTGGTTTTTTTTTAGGGGAAATTAAGCCTGGCTCATTCCTAATTAAATTGCCTTGAAATGTGTCCTCCCTTTTGCATGCTGCCATGCTGCTTGGACTTCTAAGTAACTGGAGCCTTGGAAGTTACTTCTGAGTAACTGCATCTCTCTGAATCACCATGTGTACGTGTCCATCTGGTTGGGTGGTTGAACTCAGGGGATAATGATTAAGAGGTGGTAGTCTGCCTGAAGCCAGTAACAAGTGGACTGTCACAGGGGAATCTAATTGGACGTGTCCTGTTCAGCATCGTTATCAGTGATCTGAAGGAGGTGTTGGAGTGCATGCTCATCAAGTTTGTAGGTGGCACAAAATGGGTGGGGGACAACTGAGATAAAGTCAAGGGGAGAACCACCATTCAGAGGGACCTAGATAGGCTGAGAAATGGGCCAACAGGAACCTTGTGAAATTCAGCAAGGACAAATGCAATGTCCGCATCTGGGGAGGAAAAACCTTTTGCAGTAATGAGGTTTGGGCACTGACTGGCCATTAGCAGTTCTGCTGGAAGGAACCTGGGGATCTTGGTTGACAGCAGCTGAACATGAGCCAGCTGTGTGCCCTGGCAACAAAAAAGGCTAACAGCATCCTGGGCTGTGTTAACACGAGCATAATAGTTTGACGGACACGATTACCCTCTTTGATTTGACACTTATTAGTCTACATCTGGAATACTGTCTCCAGTTTTCAAGACCAGACTGGGTAAACTGGTCTGATCTCATGGCTGACCCTGCTTTGAGCAGGAGGTTGGACCAGAGACCTCCTGAGGTCCCTTCCAACCTGAATCCTTTTGTCATCCCATGCTGTAGGGCTTTTCCATAAAGCCCAGGTGGTGTGTTGTGATGCCAAGGTTATAAGAAAATATTTTCCTACTTTTAGTATTTTTTTCTCTGTTAAACATATATCAGAACAGCTGGTCCCTGGACAGGCATTGCTTACTCTTGCATTCTCTTTATACATAGTTTTTCAGGGGAAAAATATTTTTATGTATGCCTTTCTTTATTCCTAAGGATCTTCAAAAATAAAAACAAGAAAATGTTTAAAGTGCAGTTCAGTTCTGAAAAAGGATTATAAAAATGTCATTACAAGGTTCCATATTTTCTATTTCTGTCATTCCACTGGGGTGAGGTGCACTTCCATTTTATTTTTATCACTAAAAGCAACAACTGTGGTTTTGGTACATGTGTGGAGCAGATCAAATATATAAGAAGGTAATGTTTTATGTAGACTTTATTTATTTGAGTAGTGCCGCATGCTTTAATTTAACTAAAATTGCATCTGTTTCTGCTGGTCATGCCTGATCTCTCCGAGAAGATGGCAACTTCTGCTGTTGGCAGTGTAATGAGTTCACCTCCGAGATTTGCTATGCGGAGGGCTGTTTGATACAGCATTATTCTGATACTGCCAAGGCTAGATCAGATGCCCATTTTCAGAGAGCGGTCATATATTCTTTCTCTAATTAAGCACTCCTCAGCTCTCCTCCCAGAGTGCATTTTACTGCTGGTTTGAATCCAAGAGCAGAAGACAATTCAAAATATATTGCTACTATATAACCATACTTGCTTTTCTCTGAGGCAGTTTTTGAATGGAGGGCAGAAAATCATGGAGTAAAGACTGAAAAGAATGTTAAAATCTGGACTCTGAAGCAAAGCTATAAATACGTGCTAAACACTCAGCAGTCTGAGCATTTCTTAATCCTAAATAGCAAAAGATGCCCTACGCAACCCAGTACAGCGCAGCAGGTGTATTTATTTGCAGTTCCCTGTTGGCCAGTGAGGAACAATTTTATACTCCATAAAACTCAGGCTAGAAGTTAGCTGGGAGAGGCACATCTCGTGTGCATTGCTGAGGCTGCCTTTCTTGCACCCCAGTTTGTTCCAGTTGTGTTGCCTGGGACTGGCTCTTACTCCTGTATCTCTGCTTCCTCCAATGTTCTGTTGCTGATCGCCTACCACCTGTTTTTCCTGGAGGAATTAAAGAAAAATATCAGACCCACTCTTTTAGAGGACTTCGGTAACTGATAAGTCACTCAATCATACCTTGAATTGTGACATTTTATTTCAAAGTAGTGCTGCAGGTAGTGCAATAATGCCAAAAAACATCGCATTCCTTTGCAGCTTTCATCATTATCATTTGGCTCAGCAGCACAAATCTGTAAGAAATAGAGATACATGATACAACAGAAGTGAAATGAAGAAGAAAATATGTGGAAAGGAAATGTCTGAAGTAAAGCTTAAATTAAATTCTAGCTCGTATACAAATGACAGATCTATAACATTCCCTATTCTCCCAGATAATTCTCTTGTGCAGAACATTAACAAACAGGGCATGTACATTCCCATCGATGAGCACTTACACTTCAGTGCCTTGAGTACCACTAATGTCAGACAAATGTTCAAAGGAGACCTCTCAACCAATTACAGACTGGAGCAGTCTACCGACGGATAATATCCTAGCCTACCTAGCTTTATTTGACAACTCCAGTTGTCTCACCGCCGTTTTTCCCCCAGGAACCAGCATGTCCCTCTTCTACCTCTAGGCATGTCGAGGGAAATTTCCAAAGGTACAAATAAGTTTGTTACTGATTTCTATTCAAACTGATTTAATTCAAAACCATTGACCTTCAGGGTGACCTTCAGTTGTTTAATCTCTGAGTGGTCTGGTTTTCTAACCTGTGAAAAGAAGGAAAGAAAACTCTCTTTTTCTTTGCCTTCCCTTGTTGGAAGACAGGCTTGGGGAAAAAGGTACTGTTTCTTGCTAGAAGAACATATGCTGATAGCACAGCATGGTATACATTGGTGGTGCAAGCAGGACAGATCATTTTTCTCAGCATGTCTATGAAGAAATAAGATATTTGAAAAGGAAAGCCAGAAAACTAATGAAGAACTTGCTAAAGTGCAGCCAAAGGTTACTTTGCTCATCAATTTTGCACTGATGGTACTTGGGCACAGAAACTAATTGCTAGTCAAGATACTCTATTCATTCATTTGTCTTCCCTCTAAATGTGTTTATTCTTCATGTACATCACTTGATTTGATTTGCACGAGGTAAAACGTTTGCGAGTGATGTTTGTCTTCTGCAAGAGAGAGATTTTAATTTTTTACTTACTATTTTTTTTCTCCTAGCAGAGCTACTCGACTGCAAATACAGAAACATTTGCAGGTCTTTTGATGATGAGCTTGTGCTTCTCTTGCATTCCTCCAAGTCATAGGATTTGATCCCGAAAATAATTGTATGTTATGAAACATCCCAGCTTCATTTAGCTTAATTTTATAGTCCTGTAAACACCATACTGAAATTCGTATAGAGGAAAAACCGCTTGTTCCTAAAGCTGCATGAGCTGAGTTATCACAATGTATCACTCACCTGATGGGAAACTGTGCTGATTCAAGCTCAAAGTATCCTGAGGGTTCTCAGTGTATATAAAATATGCAGAATTACCACTATCTATGCCTGATGATACCTGCTGCTCAATATCAGCCTGTCTGCAGTCCATACTAAAGAATCTCTTTGTTGTATGAATGTGACTGAAAAGTATGGTAATGCTGCATTGTTGGAAAATCAAAGCCCTGTACAAGCCTCTGTTATGTCACAACATATACTAAAGTCTTTTAGGCTCTTTCTCTATGCAAAAATGTGGGGAGGACAATGTAATACAAAAATAGACAATTTATGCCTGGCAGCAAGTTCATCTTCTTTCAGTTCTCTTTCACCAGAGAAAGAACTATTATTGTTCTGCCTTCTTCAAAAGCAGGAGAGGGGAGCTAACCACTTATAATAAAACCCAGCGGGTTGCCAAGAATGCACAGTATTGCCTTTGTCAATCATTTATACATGAATTTTGATACCCGTTTTACTAGAGTATTTGTAATTGCTGCTACTTCCAATTTCTTCCTAATATATCCCATAGAAGAATAGCTTGATTACTAAAACTAAAATCAGTAAGACCAAGGCAGAGTAACTAATCAAAATGATGTCTCATTACAAACCTACCTTCATATGGATCCCGTATCCCTCGCTTCCTACAGCCCATCTCTTCCTTTCTGCAGGGAGTGAAAACAGGAAATATGTCAAACTTGAAAATGTGTTATTCCTTCCTGACTAGAAAGAAAGCTTTTATTTATTTTTCCAAGCTCGCTATTGAGATGTCATCCAAGAAGTAAGGTTCACTGCTGAGTTTAAAAGCACTTGATACTCAAAAGAGAAATATCACCTGGAAATACACTCGGAAATACAATTGTGTCTGTTCATCATTGAAGGTATATCAGAAATGTAGGTGTTTTTAGCAAAAAGAAAGCATAAAATTCAAAAGTCTTTCCCAAGTCATCTGTAGATCTGAGCTTGTGGTGACCACCAAAATGAAATGGAAATAAATCTGCACGCTCTGGGACTTGGCAAGCCTTTAATTTCAAAATATCCACCTCGTTATAGGCCCGCGAGAGACAAAAAGCCTCAAAACTAATGGATGCCTTGCAAGAATCCTTCCTGTGTTTAGAAATTGGAGAGGATTCTTTTGCAAGAGAAACTGGAAAGTCCCAAGCAACAGATGACATGTTTCTTCATTTAAAGCATTATAAACTTTTATGAGCAAAGCCATCAGGGCTGAGTGCTTTGTTAGGCTTCCTGCCTCAACTTCTTACCATGTTACCAGGTCTAGCAGATGAACCACCTGCTCCTGAGTAAAACTTGTATGGTCGACCTGATTTAGGAAATCATTTATGAAATTGGAGCAGGGCTTTTTATAAACTGACAAGAAAACTTGTTTAATCTCCCTTGCCTTTTTAGTAATCCCTTCTTCAGTTACAGTCTCTCTAATTACCTGTTGTTGGACCATTTTTCTCAGAAATCTCTTCAAACCATGTCTGGTTTGTTTCCCTCAACAAATAGTCTGCTTTTAGCTAATTTTATAAAACACTCTGTGTTTGCTGAGTGAATTTTTCAGCTGCCCTCTGGCAGTGATGAGCTGACGCAAAACATTAGGGTTTCTGTTTTGAACATGTATCATCTGCAACTAGCTAATATTTCTCTCCTGGTTTGTCACAATGACTTCATGTTCTTTTCTTGCAAATCTGCTGTTTTAATTGCTTTGTCGGAGTCCCCTCAGGTCACCATGGTGGTCATGCCATTAACCCTGGGCTTGTCTATCAATTACAGATTTAAAGGTGTCCATATACGTATTTTGCTATCATACAAAGTAAGTTATGGAAAACTTGCCTCCGTGCAACTCTTCAGCATTAAAGGAGTGAGGTCTTAAGATATCCTATATTGAAAAAACCTTCATATACTTCCTGTTTGGGGATTCAGTGAGTAAAAAAAGAAAAAAAAAAAAAAAGATGATAATGCTGGAATTAAACTTCCAGTGTCTGATCAAGGGTTGTTCTGCATCCTGGGTGTTACTTGTACTAAACCTCATTCACTTTCTTGGTGTATCAGAAGTTGAGCAGTTCTAGTCTGAGGTCCTTCTCATCCTGAAGAAGGATTGAAACTACCATTCCCTGCAATGATTTCTTGGATGTTAACAGCAAGGAAAAGTAATTTTCTTAAAGGTGAAAAAGAAGCAATGATCTCTTTTGGGAACGTGGATATTCATGATGGTGGTAGAGGTCTCCTTTATCATCCCTTCCACACAGTATGTGGTAGCAAATGAGAAGGGGACAAAGCGTAAGTGCTTGCTAAATTAAGAATTACTATTTATTAATCTCTGCTTTTGTATACTACAAAGAGAGAAGTACACTTCTGTGCTGAAATGTCTTTGTAGTTTTAAATATTTATTTCTGTCCAGGTGTGTTTCTTAGGCACTTGTTATGTCTGCCTTGAGGGATTTAAATCTGTAAGCACCATCTGTTGCTGTTTGGTGTGGACACATGGCTAAAGAATATGATATTAGTGAGATAGGTGTACTGTATGGCTGCTGCAGCTCATGCTACTCAATCTCTGTCTGAACAGAAAGTGCCCGTTTCCTTCATGCTGCTGACTGATTACCATTTTGTGTCAATCTAAGAGAATAATCAACTAAACCCAAATCCTAAACAAACCCCCACACACGTTTAAACTCAGTTTGTGCTTTAAAAAACATGAAAAAGGGAATGTCCCCTCTCCTCCAAAGTCTTCTGAGACTTGTACTCCAAGAGAGACTGAGCTGTAAAGTCTTTCTTAGTCACGTAGCCTCTGCCCTCAAACGAGTGGTTAATCCAACCCTTCTAAATGTATGGGGAGACAAGCTTAGCTAGTAAATGCACACCCGGGAAATATCCTTAATATATTCCAGGAGTGTTTGTTTAGTTCCTAGAAAAGGAGTTACATGGGGAGAAGTCTGCTGTGAGCTCCCCCTCAGCCATCCCTCCCACATTGCTCCCTGTGTGAGCATCGTCTTCTGGAAGAAGCTGAAGCCACAGCCCATCTCTGAGCTCTTCCCCACAGGGCCTGGTGATAAATGAAGTGGGGACTGGGACTTCTGTGAGCCATGTCACAACAAGACATTTCACTCTTTTTCCTTCAGTAATTTCCTCTGCCAGCTTAATCACAAAAACACTTTTCCAACCAGCTTGCTTAGGACATAATGATAAATTGTAGTGGAGGTTTAATGCTTATTATAATTTAATGTTTCATTCAAAATTAAGCAGCACACTCCTGTAGTCCCTGGGTAAACAGCCATAACTTAAACCCCCACCCCGCACTTTTCAAATCACAGGCTTATTCTGCCATTTTGTCTTGCAGGCCGGCTGCCCTCCTACTTTGTTTCCAGGTCCCCCCTCTTCCCTAACCTTGTTCATCGCAAATTTTGCAGTGCTCTGTTCAAAATCTGCTTCTGTTGGGCCCATACACACTCCTTCCTGTGCCTGATGTTTCTTCTAGCCTAAAACTGACTGTGTCTTAGCTGTCCGTGCATCAGAAGTCTGGAGCTTGGTTGGTGCGTGCCCAGACCTGAGTGAGAGCACAGTCAGCCTAAACTCCTCGTAATCAAGGCATCTTGAGCGAGTGATCTAATGAAGTTAAGATCTGAATCACACCCTGAGGTGTCATTCCGTGTTTACTACAGAGAGAGCCTGGGGTGACCATGCTGCTAATTTGGTTAGGCGTTTAAAGTCCAATGAGATGAGACGTGACTTTGAGTCTCAGGTTTAGCCTTAGGAAGCATCAACCCTTCTAGCTTACAGAGAGGTGGGCAGGTGAGTGTCTTCCGCTTGCGTTGTCTCATTATCTGTGTGTTTTTCTTGCCACTCCTTGGTTCTTCCAGCAACCTTTTTTTTTTTTTTGGCGTTAACTCCACAGCATGTAGCCATCATAAACACATAAACAAAAGCATACATGGTTTTAACAGAAAAATAAAAGAACTATTGTCTGGCTCTCCGTATGCTCCTCAATCTTCTGGTAGAAACCCAAATCCAGGACGTATTTATTGTTCTGGCTTAAAGCCAGAGTCTGTATTTACTTTTGTGAGTGGCTAAGGAGTCATGGTTTTTAAATAAGTGTAAGCCTTCAGTAGCATGATACATTACAACCAGAAATTACTACATTTTTAAATTAAGCATGTGAAGTACCCTTGTGGCTTTCTGCTCTGGTCAGAGCAGATTAGCAGTTGTGCATGCTGAGGAAGGGTTACCCTCCGCCTTCCTGGGGAGGAGCAGTAGATTGAATGGGTGAAAACTGGTCCTCCTTGCTTTTCCTTCACTATCTGAGGTCCTTGTTCTCCTTAGGAACCAGGATGATAAGGAGCAGAAATCAGGCTGAAATATAATGGCAGAAGGGCTCTTATCACTTAATACAGATCAGCATTTAAGGGATGCAGCAGAATTTAGCTTCTCACTGCACTGTGCAGCCTCCAACTTTCAGCCAATGAGTACAAATGAAATGTTTTTCCACAAATCGCATGTATGTGGAGAAATTACACATTTTAATTGAGCTGCTGTTTTATCTTTGTTTTTTAATGATTCATTTTGTATTTCCATGGGGTTTCTGCAGGCATTTTCACTACATTTTCTAGTTGGGTGCTTCCAAAAAAATCCTTATTTATAGGAAGGAAAGATTCTACCCATGATAGGATAAGCCTGAATCCACGAGTAAATCAAGCTGTTCTGTAGCCTAAGAATACATATGGTAATTTTGATTAGTAGCTCTATATGAATAGTGTCAATGTCTTCTGCTTCCTTGAGTATGAAAAATTCCATGTTAAATCATATCTCCCATGTGTTTTACTGTTTATATGTATTACTGCTGTCACTTTGCTAGGACATCATCATAAGAAGGGGAAAAAAGTGAGAGAGGGAATTTATTGACCAACTTATGTCAATCAAAAACAGTATGAAAATTGGCTTTTTTCCACATTTAACAACATTTCCATTAGCCGTTCTAAGCATCAGCCTTGGGACTTCTGGCATAACTTTTTTTTTCCCCAAATAGGATAAAATTGTGAAGAATTCAGAGATGTCTTTCATTTATTTAATTGTACAATAGCTGCTGGTAGTTTTATATCTATCATCATACAAGTCTGATGTCGTGTGTTTTTAACTGCCTGTAAGACTGTAGCTGACTGAAATGTAGATTGATTTTTCTGTGCTGTTTTTTCTCCCTTTCTCTTTTCCTTAACAGCGAGCTGCCTCATTCCCCTCAGAATCTTCTGGCCACTCTAAATTCCTCATACAGCCGCAGCGTGATGCTCTCCTGGGTGCGTCCCTTTGATGGAAACAGCCCTGTTCTCTACTACATGGTCGAGCTCTCTGAGAACAGTGAGTAAAGTCAAATATGTTTCAACCTCATGTTCTTCTTAATTATTCAGCCTTCTCTGAGACTCACCTTTCACCAGAGCTACTAACCAAATGTTACTGTTGTTTGCTAAATGAGAGACAGTGTGCACGAAGAGGAAGCGCTGGGTTTTACACTCAACTATTCGCATGCTGAAAGAGTTAACAAAAAGAGGCCTGAGATGGTGGAATTGTCATACAGGAAAGCCTTAGGTCCACCTCCAGCATTGCCAGCTAGACTTGAGGCACAACAGCTCATTCGTCAGTGCTTCTATTCGACATCTGTAAAATAGCAGTAGTCACATTTCATTTCTGCCCATTGTTGCCTTTTGCTCTGGGTTCGTAGATATCCTGATGCATTTAGAGCCCCAATTTTACCTGCAAAATGCAGGCAGTACGACAATATAAGGAACCAATGGCCTGTCAGAGGAACAGACTTGGATGTCAATAGGAGCTACTATCTTATCTTTATATGGGTTCATATATTTTCTCTGCTTTCCCCAGGTTATCATTTTACACCCTTCTTTTAGGTAGGTGATTGAGGATGCTTAACTGTAAGATATCCAAATATCCAGCTTCCTGGGTTACAAACCTGGTCATTGTGAATTGCCACTTCTCACGGTTTTGTCATGCTGCATGTCTGGTCCTTTGTGGCTCTCAGTTTGCGAGGTTATTCAGGGACAGTGCTAATGCCTCTTTAGGAGTTGATGGAAAGATGAGGTTATATGGAAATCGGTCACCTTGGCGATACTTTCTAATCTCTGTCACCCTAGAAGCTGGAAATTCAAGCCTAACAATTGATTCTTGATGAAAAAATTAAGAGCATCACTTTTTCTGACATGTGGAAATTAGCCACTGCATAACTGAATGTGAAACAGTCCTGATTTCTGATTATCTAGAGAGTAGCATTTTGTTTTGCCACACAGGGCTTGAGATGAAACTTGAGCTTCAGATCACATACAACCCTTTTGCTTTGCAGCCTGGAGTGCATAACTTTTCAGATGTGGAGGTCCCAGAACTGATGATCTTGACATCTGTTAAGCAAAGTGCAGTTTTCTAATCCTAGCAGAAATCCCAAGTCATGCCCAGGACTGCTGTCCTTAAAACAGTTCTTTTCGAGCAAAGACCTCCTGATCTTTTTGTAACAAATGACTCGGAAAACTCAGTGTTCTGCACTCACGCCCCCTCTCTACCTTTTATTCACCACCACCTTTTTTATTGTCACTCTTCCCTCCTTCCCCTCCTATCGACTACAGGCCAGTAACTGCCTTTTTGCTTTTCCTTACCCGTTCTTTCACCCAGGGATGTTACCCTTGTGTTTCATGTTTCCCAGTGGCTTTAATGAAGGCAAGCTGATAAACTCCCAGTCTGGGAACATGATGCAAAGATACTAGAGCTGTATTTACAAAGAGGCAGCACAGAGCTGGCAGAACCGATGCACTTGGGTCCTGCACTGGGCTGCATTGACTGGGAAGAGTCACTAAAAGAGGAGGCAGCTCGCTCGGTGCCCGAAGTTTGAAAGGTCTCCAAGTGCCTTTCTAGCAAGGATGCTTTGCAGTTGTTCTAGTATAAGAATGGGGTAAATGTGCCCTCATTTTGAAAATGCTGTAATTAATTCACTGAAATTTGTAGAAGGCTCAGCAAAAATCAACAATAGTTCTCCAGAAATCATGCAGACAGTCCCTCAGAACTCCACAGGATCCTGTGAAGCCTCGCTCACTCCATGATAGATCCAATAATTTTGGCTGATGGCATTGCAATCTACCACTGAGAGAGTCTCATTATCACAAATCATAGGTATATGTACTTCAGCAAGCTTGCAGCTGCAAAAACCAAACACAGACCAGGACTGTTGTGAATTGAGCATCTTAACTCCCAGAAATATTCTGGATCTTGCTGTCCTTTCAGTTTTCATCTTTATTTACTTTGCTTTTATGTATAGTCTCTAAATGGTTACTCAGAGAAGTAGGACAGGGAGGAATCTAAACCCTTGAATATTCTACTGTTGCTGTTCTCTCTCATTTCATATATTATTGCTCAGCTTTACAGATGCCAACAGAATAGTGGAACAATGTCAACAGTGGCTTTGGTTTGGAAAGCTGTCTTGTTTTGTTTTTTATTTTCTTGAAGTGTTTGTTTTTTAGAGTTATTTTGATCTCAGTAGTGTGTGCTTAATATTTAGTTTCTACAGACCTCGTACTCCTTTGGAAAACACCACCTTTCCTTTGTTCCCCCTCATCCCAAGCGGTATTTGTGAATGAAGCTGACACTTGATCTTGTGTAGGTATAGTTTTGTCTGATACGACTGTGCAGAATCTCTTTGCTTTTCAAAGAAAACTTCAGGTTTTCTGTCGGTCCCGTTTGTGCTGCAGAAAGAGCAACTGTCAAGGAGTCAGCGTATGCCCTCCGTGAGCTCATGCACTTGTGTCTGTATCTCTTTCAGCAGCAGTGCAATATGCTTAACATCCTAATCCCCGTTTGCTTTCATACATGTAAGGGCTAGGGAGGGACATCAGAACTGTGATTTATTTTCCAGTTAGTAAAGCTGCACAGGAGACTTTGTTCTTAGTTCTGTGGAGTTTTAATACATGGGTTTTGCTTTGCAGTTACAGGTACCAAAACACAGCCTAGTTCTGTTAATTTTTTTAGCTGTTTTGCTTTGAATAATTTTCTAATAGCGTTAGGATCCATTGTACGTTTTGAAGCCTGTACCATAAATGAATACATAATAACAATATCTGTTTCAGAGAAATAGCTGAAATGCGTTCAAAATAATGAGTGTAAATTTCAGGGGACTAATTACTAGCTGCATTAGAGAGAGGCGTGTCACTCCACCTGGCATGGATTAGAACTCCTTTTCATTAATATCAATTCAGAAAAGAGATATAAAAACCTTATTTAATTAGAGGAAAAAACAGTGGCAGATCACACACATAAATTGCTGGAAATATGAACAACTCTAGTCACCGAGTCACCTAATTTTTAAAATGAATGTATTTGGCACAATGCAATAATTCTCAAATTACAAGTATTCACAGTAGACCGTGTCTGTGGGTGACTTGAGACATATGGCCTTAAACATTTGGGGGCAAATTTATAACCTAATTTGAAAAACACAGTTCCAGGGAAACACAGTCATTAAGTATTCCTGCCCGCATAGAGCCAGGAATGTGAACCTGCTTTTGAAATAGGATTTTCAGATAAATAGTACCATGCGTTGCTGTCGTTGGCACTAATATAATTTTTGGATGTTTCATGACCTGTTTAGCCCTGTTGCAATATACCTAGGAATTCCAATGAAGTATCTTCATGGAATTAGAAGGGGATATGCTTATTTTATTCCAAAGAGGTTTAGATTTCAGGGATTAATAAAAAATTGTTCCGAATAGTCTTTTATCTGAAGAAATGAATTAATCCTTAAAGAATCCTGCTGAGTACAATTAAGATAAAAGCCCATTTTTGTTTTATTGTATTCTGGGATATCTGTGCTGTGTGACGTAGTGAATATAACTCAGATTCATCACGTTGTGCCAATGAGGAGGTGATAAAGCTCCCATGAAAAGCATCTACACGTGCTTAACTTAAAGCCTATGAATTGTCATACTGAATTCGGTAGGAATATTCAAATGACAAAAATTGAACACATTGATAAATCTTTGCAAAACTCAAAACTATGTTGCTTGTTACAGCTGTGACTCAGATCTATACGTGATAGTGTTAAAAGATACTTTTTCTCAGGCCATTGGTAGACCTTGTTGAAGTCCTACCAAACAAAGGATGAACCATTTAATTTTTATTTGAACTTTTTGCAATATCATATTGTCATGAAGATTTGAAAGATGAATTCAGTAAACTCCAGCAGTACAGCAAATTCCAATACTACTGTCTCTGCAAAACCCCCTGGAGAAGGAAGGAGATGGGAATGTACTCCAAACCTGCAAAAATCGGCTTTCTGCAATAGAGCTAATCTGTAATATCAAATTAGAAATGATTTTTGAGGAATTTGCAATTAATGCATGAATTGCAAAGGTAGATAGGGAAATACAGAAGAAATGCCTCTTGGTAAGCAACCAGTGTTATTAAACGTATCACAAGTGCATCCAAAAATTCTTGACAGAACAAAAGTAATTTCTAAAACCCCCCAAATCACATTGTAAACTAAAGAGTAGCCTGTGAGATTCTTCGTTTCCAATAAATTAATTTGGAGAGGCAATCAGAGTTAATTCAAAATACCCAGAGTATCCTTAAGACGATAGACAGCTAAACATGGAATTTTTTCAGACAGTAGCAATTACAGTGGAAGAGCAAGCAAGCAAAGCCCAGAGTACATTCTGGGCAGCTTAAGTTAAATGAAGGATTAGCACAGTCTGTTCAATCTAACAGAGGCTTATTTAATAGTTTGACCTGGCAAGTCTTTTTTCACCATGGAGCTTCTCCAGGCTTCCTGGGACAGGCGAGTGACAGTCATCCCTGGAGGAGAAGAGAGTCGGTGTTGAAAATTTTCTGGCGTGTTTCTGATGTCCGAATTGCTCTTCTCCATGGTAAAACAAGCTTCTGTGCAATTCTGGGGTTTGTTGTGTATTTAAGGAGGGAGAACAGCCTTTTGAAATGTGTAGTTTATTGATTGTCAAAAAAAAAGACTTGACATTTAAATTTTAAAGATACTCTTCACATTCACTGTATCCACTGCTCCATGAGTGAGCAAATCCTCCCCAAACCACTTTCCTTTACGAATCAGGGTGCCCAGGAGATGAATAGGCTTCGCTTATATTAGTTTTCAGTTTAATCTCTCTTCCTGCCAGATCTTTTATCTTCCACCAGGAGAAGAAAAAGAATAAAGTATTCTACAGATGGAGCATATAAACAGAGCAAAGCCCCAAGGTGCTGAAGAGATTAATAGGCCCTGTTGTTGAATCAAACTGCTCACTACATTGAGCTGCTTGGGTTAAGCACTCTCAGGTGATGTTTACACCAGCAGTAAACAAATGAAATGCTCTAGGAAATGGACCACTACCCAAGTAGCTGATACAGGGGGTATTTCACTCTCTTGTTGGTGTCTGCTCTTCCATTTTCCTCAGGAAGCTGCTTCAGGCAATGTATTAAGTCAGCCATACCTTAACTTTGGCTTACCTTGATTTGTTATTGCGCACTCTGGCTGTAATGAGGTGAACAGTTGTCTGTGAAGTCTCAAGAGAAGCTTGATAAAATTCAGAAGGAAGTAGGCTGCAAAAAACTCCTAACCAATGCTTTTCTAGATAGCATAGGTGTGCTTCCTTCTAAGGTCTTTCTAAAAGAAGTTCAACGTTCAGCTAAGATGAATTGCCATCAAGATCTTGCAGCCGAAGTGACTGTTGGTAAATCATCAACAACTGACAAGGATGGAACTTGACTGCCGTGCAAATGTCCCTCTCCAGCTTTCCCAGTGTTCTGCTGTGTCAGTTTTCCTGTTAAAAAAGACTTTGTTCTCAGAAAGCCATTACTGGAATAAATATATTTTGAGTAATTCTAAGATGCAGTGTTTATAGCCCAACTGACATCACACCCTAGAGGACTTAAACTTGCTAAGGAATCTGCCAGAAAAGCACTAAATTAGTGGTTTACATCTTGGTGTGAAGTTTAGCAGCCTTCCACATTTGGGACATCTCATCTTCATTTGCAGGCAGACGTCTAGGTGACCTGCCAGGAGCTGCAATGCACTTCTGATGAGCAACATGCACAGATACATTGCCAAAATTTACAGCTAGTTCCTCAGTAATTTCCAGAAGTGTTAGTAATTTTGAGCAGGGAGCATGAAAACAGCTGGTATTATTTAAAAACTGAACAAATCTTTAAATTGGCTGATTCCATTGCTGTACTGTTGCAACACAGACCAAATGTCACCTCTCCCTGACTATTTCAGTCATGACTTCGGGGAGAATGTGTGACACCAGGCTAGGAAGAAAAGAAGTCAGGATATTTAATTTTCAACATGTTTCATTTCTGACCTCTTTGAAAACTTGAAAATGTAATTTGGGCATCAGAGGCGCTCGGTATGTCAAGTATGTGAACTGACAATGAGGGTTTTATAGTGCTGCCAGGGCTGTTTATACCAGGGAATCTTCCAAGGAAATGATTAGACCAAATGCCGTATACTCTCTCTAGAAAAAAAATTGCAGACATGTAGAATCCGCAGCAGAAGCTTTCTCAGGTCTTACAGCAAAGGGCTGATTTGGCAGGGAGAGTCCACGCTTCTACACCTGCTTGCAAGCTGGGTAGGAAGATATTCCAAACTGACTGTGAATTTCATTACAGTCCTTCCACCAGAGCCGCTCATGGGTGTGGTGTTGTAATGGCCTGCCAAACAGATGGGTTGTGAAATACACAGCCCATCTGTCTTTATCATGCTTGTTTCCTCTTTTATTAAAATGTTAATGAATATAGTTTTTATTTATTATGCCATGACATGTGCAGCATCACTTTCCAGTAGACAAATGTGCAATCTGCATAACCGTGTGGGCTGACAGGAAGGTTTCTTCGGCTGAAAAGAAACTTCTTCCCAAAGTTCCTCTGAGGAAAACAAGCACAAAGAGCTCTGAGCAGTCAGAGGCGTTTTCTCACTTCTGCAGGGCTTTTAACAAGCACTTCCATCTTTTTCACATGTAAATTATTCCAACAGATTCTCCCTGGAAGGTTCACCTATCAAATCTTGACCCAAAGATGACCGGTGTTACTGTGAGCGGACTAACTCCAGCCCGAACTTATCAGTTTAGGGTGTGTGCGGTTAACCAGGTGGGAAAGGGCCAGTACAGCTCTGAGACCAGCAGGTACAGTAAAAATAAATAAAAATAAATATCATCTGTTGTTTGTGAATGAATAAAATAATCTTTTGCACAATAATTGGGGAACGGAGCAGTTAGCATTACCCAGGCCTCTGGAGAGTGCTCTGCAGCTGTCAGTAATTGGTGATAATGGCAATTAGAGGCTGCAGGATATCGGCACACCATGGGAGAGGTGCCCTCATGTTTCCAGAGTATCAGCTGAGCAGAATCTTGGAAATATTTTTTTGCTCTTCTGCTAAGCCACAGCAGTTAGCCCGGGAAGGAGTACAGCATTCACCCAGTCATTGCAATGTCACTTCTGGAATTCGCCCAGATGCGACATAGAAGGATGGCTTCATCAAATTGAGTTTCAAATGCATCCCCCTTCTGTGAACCAAAGCTTGCTGTGAGCTTGAATTGCAGAACAGCTGAACTCTAAAGGGCTTTTTCAAAATGTAGGAGTTTGATATGAAAAATATTGAAAAAGCTGAAAGAAACAATTTGGAAGGAGTCACAGACACTGGACCTGAGCTCTAACTCATTCAGGCTTGTAATCTTTTTAAAGAGTTGTAGCAGCCTGGGTGATTCAGAGAGAATAAGGTTACCTCAGCTGTCTGTCTTGTTGCTTGCTTAACTGATTTCCTATTATGTTGATTTGTTGTAACTACTTCATGCATGTCTTCAGCAGTTTGATCAGCGTTATATTTCTTTCTAGTGATGAGACTTTGATAAAAGAAACTGGTTCACGTGGAGTGGATATGTGAAATAGAAATGTTATCTATCATTTATTTCAACACTTACCTCCATCACATTCTTTTGTACTTAGGTTGATGCTACCTGAGGAGCCCCCCAGTGCCCCACCTAAAAACATAGTGGCCAGTGGGCGCACCAATCAGTCTATCATGGTCCAGTGGCAACCTCCTCCCGAGAGTGAACATAATGGAGTTCTTCATGGGTACATCCTAAGGTAAGTAATTTCCTAACCTGGAAAGTCTGGAGATAGATCTGTGTGTGCATGAGGGAATTCAGAATGGTGTGACTTAAAGAGTGTATTCAAAACTATTTTTAATTCCATTAAATATATTAGTCATTATTTACAAATGCTGTGGCTGCCCTGGTTTATTTACAGATGAGAAAACACCTCTGTTCAAGTGGCCACAGGGATGCAGGCACTTAAATTCTAGCCTGTCTATACTAGAGAGTCGGTGAGCTGGGGTCTCTGTTAGCTACTCCGAATGGACTGCCTAAGTGGACTAGCTCCCTATGGAGGCTCTCAACATCCAGATAGCTTTTTTCCATTTTCAAAGTGAAGCGAAGCACCAAGTACTAAAAGTGTTCACATGGGAAGTTGGTACAGGGTGAGCTGGTGTTAGCTACTCCGAATGGACTGCCTAAGTGGACTAGCTCCCTATGGAGGCTCTCAACATCCAGATAGCTTTTTTCCATTTTCAAAGTGAAGCGAAGCACCAAGTACTAAAAGTGTTCACATGGGAAGTTGGTACAGTGCAGCCTATGCATTGCAGATGTATAGTTGCTTTTTACAATCTCAGCTTCCTGCTAGAAAGTTTAATTAAATTTATCAAAGACACAACAGGGTTCCTGCACTATGGAAGAGCAAGAACAGAATCAATAAACTTCAGTTTTGTGCCAAATAAAATGGAAAGAGGGAATGACAGGTCAGATGCTTCATGGCAGACCTTAATTTGGTTTTGAAAATCAGTCAGTTGAGTAAGATTCTTTCAGCCCCATCTGTATTTATTAATGAGAAACAGATTCAGGCAGGTAACTGGGAATCCTGAATACATCCAGTCTTTCTGCTTACACAGGATTTATTGTGTTGGAAAGGGTGTTGCCACACTGAGAGACTTTGCAGAGCGTTTTCCTTTTGTAGTTTTTGGGACTCAGTTATTCACTCCTACCCAATTCAGCTACGGCTTACTTGCTTATTTGGCATCCTACACATCCTGCAGTGCTAGCAGCCAGCTAGGGCTGCACCTTTAGTAAGGGAGACATTATCTAAATCAGAGTTTTTGTGGGAAACTCCCAGGCATTGCACCACCCCTGACATATTTCCAAGTGATGGTTACAGCCTATTGTAGGCAGGCTGCTCACACTTTTAATAGTGTCTTCCAGAACTGCTAAAAGACAACTAAATGCTACAGTTTAAATGCCAACATCCTGTTCATGCTGTGCTCCTACTTTTGCTGGCATGGATGGAAATGCTTTTGTGATGTTAAGAGTGTTGGTGAGCTCCCAAAATAGTGCTGGAAAGTTCCTTCTCTCTGCAGGCAGAGTTGAAGTCTGTTAATCTCCCTGTCACCTGCACAGAGCCTGTTACGGTGGTGAGCCACTTGTGCAAGTGCCTGCAGTTTTAAGAGCTGGACTCAGTTTGAAAGCTGTGCCAGTCACCAGTGACAGATGGGAAAAGATGCTTTAACTTCTGTCTATAGCTAGAATCTTGTCATGAGGCTTGGGTACCTATTTGCATAGGGTACAAGTGTTGCTTGTACAGTTCTTTCCTTCAAATTGGTCACTCGATGATAGGATTAATTCCTTAGCTATTCCTAATGAGTCTTACCCAGTCTCAGCATTAAGTCCTTTGAGAAAGCAATCCCATAGCCTCCTACTTCTGGCAATCTGTTCTGTTTTCTCCATATAGCGTTTTCCATAATGTTTAACTTAAGTATTTTCTACAACATCTATTAGCATAATTGATCCCTGTCCTCGCTATAACTTCTCTTTCCATTTTAATAGAGTGATTATATTCCTTATGCTCAATCTGTGAACATTTTTGATGTCTACGTGCTTTGTCTTGACTACAGAGCAGAGAAACCATTTATTCAACAGGAATTTAAGATTATCGTATAAAAGCACAACTGTCCCAGGTAATAAACCAGGCTGTTCTTCCAAGTCAAGTTGTACGGTCACAGCAATGTGCACTGAAGAAAAGTCTTCCTGCACTGATTTCTGTAGAATTAGGGTATAACAATGAAAACCAGCATGCATCCCAGAGACCCAATGCTCAAGACATGCAAGATACTAAATTGATGGAACACCTGATTGTATAAAAGCACAACTGTCCCAGGTAATAAACCAGGCTGTTCTTCCAAGTCAAGTTGTACGGTCACAGCAATGTGCACTGAAGAAAAGTCTTCCTGCACTGATTTCTGTAGAATTAGGGTATAACAATGAAAACCAGCATGCATCCCAGAGACCCAATGCTCAAGACATGCAAGATACTAAATTGATGGAACACCTGATCTTTAAAAGTGAAGGTGCACTGCACAAGTCATATGGAGTATACATCAAAGTCCATGGTGGGAAAAATCATGAAGACATGACATTTCTGAACTGGCCTCCTTCCTCTGCCCTTTTTCTCACTGGCAGTATTGCATTTAGAGGACTGCCATGCTAACAGCATAATAGATTAAATCACAGGAGCACTCTACACTGGTGTCTGCTAGGTGTGAGACAAAACACTGCTGCACAAAGGATTGACTTTGCCAGGAAGCATACACCCTTCACAGGAGACGAAAGAAAAAGGTGTAGATATTGCATAAAGTAGAAAAAGATCAAGACATTCAATAAACTCAGATGAATTTATTTCCATTTGTATTTCATAAATGGAATCACACCAGTGTAGCTTTACAAATATTAAGTATGCCAAAATATGGTCAGGCAAGCAGCTCCTCAGCAGAAAATAGAGGGGTTGTCAGTAATTAAGAACTGATCTCTTTATAACAAGACTTTAGAACAAAATTTATGGCTGAAATACATGAAGTTGTCTAGTCATAGAAATTGCACCAATTTAACTTAGATGAATTTAAAATCAGACTGTAAGATGTCAATGAAATTGTTCTGTGTCAATAAGCTTTTGGTGATTACTGTGAAGCAAGAGATGAATAAGAGTGCGTGAAAGCTGTGTGGTGAATAAAAATACAGATGTTTCCATATTTGTCTTTTTCATGGAATAGTAATGCCTTGTGCCCCTTACTTGGCCTCCGCTTTTCTGATTTTTTTGTGAATTAGCATATTGTAAGTATCCATTGTACCATTTTCCGAAAGGAAGGAAAACAAACAGTATTATTCACGTTCACAGATTTGCAAAGTTTGTTTGTTTTCTGTAATTGAATTCTTCTCCATACTTTCTTGGCCTAAAGAGACACATTAAAGGGGCTCTGTTTTCTGCAATACAGTTTTTACATGGGAAAATATATTCAGTGTTTCAACTTCCCATGTCTCAGCAGAAAGTTTGCCAGGTTGTTTACCACTCATCCGTATTTGGTACAGCCCTTCTCCTGGAATTCCAATACTTAACCAGTCTTTCAGTCTCAACTATATTCCATCCTTATTTTAATCATTCTGTGAAGTAAATCCTCGTGGAAGCCAGAGATGGCAATGCCTGACACTCTAGAAGGTCAGAGCCCTCTGAGCTCTTCCTTTTCAGATTTCAGAAGAGAAGGAAAAAAACATTTCTCAAGCTGATTTACAGCAGCACCCTGATAAAAATCACATCTGGGCTATTTTTTCTACTAAATCACAGCTTTTACTAGACAAGCCACATTTAAAAAGCTGTAATTTTTCTGCAACCGTAAAACAGGATAAAATACCCGTTTTGTTTAGCCCTGAGCATGTAATCTCGGTGAGATCAGATTATAAATACTATAGCAGTCAAACATGATATGGTCTTATCAGGACTTGGTCTGTTCTTTCTGATTATTTTTCATTATTCTTTGTATAATTCTGCTGCAAAAGTTTGCAAATTGCCTCTTCACAAAGGAAGCTATTTTGCTAGTCAGGATATTTGCTATAATTGATACCATCTAATTAACTAGCAAATTTTTCTTCCCATATGGTAGGTATCGCCTGGCCGGCCTCCCTGGAGAATACCAGTATAAGAACATCACCAGTGCAGAAATTAACTACTGCTTAGTGAAAGACCTGATCATTTGGACCCAGTATGAAATCCAGGTGGCATCTTACAATGGAGCGGGGCTGGGAGCGTTCAGCAGACCTGTGACAGAGTACACTTTACAGGGAGGTGAGCAAACCGGACCGATATATCCGTCATAGTTACAGTTTATAGCAGAGTTTCCTAAGGAAGAGATGCACTCTCTGATAGTCCCACCTAACAGCTTGTAAAATGAACGGTCGTTTCAGTCAAATTTGATTAGACAGCTTGGGGTAGGAGACACCTACAAATTTCAAATGCCTAAGCAGAGACAAGACGAGACTCTGCTACTATCTGTGTTGTAGAAAAAGCTGTGAGTGAATTCAAAAATTATTTATTTTCCTTGACCCTTGTGATGACATGTTACCACACTTGCAGGTCAGAGTTGGCCACAGCATAAGTAATAAATAGAAATGCTGAAGAGAGCTGGGGTCCTGTGGAATGGATTTATAGGACGTGTGACAGGCAGGGGCTGAGGTTACTCTGCCAGGAGGGTCAGAGAGAATATGGCAGGGAATTGGGTTTATCATGCTCAAGACATGCAACATGCCGCGTATGCAATATAGGAGACAAAAGCTGAGTAAACCAGCTGCATTAGTTCTGATAATCACGGAATACCTTGTCTTAGAAATACGGAATAAATTGTAAGGAAACTGTAGGGAGAGAAATACAGCCTGTGGAGAAAGAGTGTTTTGTAGCATTTCAGGAACGGTGCAGACATTTGTGAAGAGGAAGATAAAATGTTCTTTAAAGCCCTGATTTTTATGCTACAGTTCCTCCACACCTTTCTGGTAAGTGCTTTAAGAAGAGTATAAATTACACCAACAAAAGGATATGTAATTACTTTTTACAACCAGTGTAAGGCATGTTTACACCTCTAGATTGGTATAAAAATCCGTAGGATAATTAAGTACCAGGCCCTTAAAGCCTTCGTATATTCCCATAATTGCAGGGCTGGGCTGGATTCTGAGCACCGGACAGTACGTGGTCTCTACTTTATTGGTCATAAAACAATTAAATTATTTTAAAAATTTGCAGATTTACAGTACATCAATTAATTTACAATCAGTGAAGAATACATAGTTGTTTGTTAATTGTTACTAGGAGTACATTATAACATGATTAGATACGGTTCGAGGTGTAGGGAGATCTTTAAGAAAAGAATATTTGTGTGCAACACTAATTAACCACAACAATTAAAGAAGGAAACTATCTCTATTTTGTCTTAGGGCATGTAAAGTCTCACAGTTTAGAGGATTCTAGACACACTCAACCTCCTTCTAGAAGTATTTATAGCAGACCTTGAAATGTTTTTCTTAAAGTCTTCTCCTTGCAGCCAGGATTAATGTTTTGTATCTCGCTAAAGACCAGATCTCTGCTGAGAATTGGTTTGCACACAGAATTTGAATCTCTTTTGTGAATATGCTTGTAATTCATTACTTTGTTTATTTGCACGTTTTAAGCTACATCATAGCACCTTAACCTTCCATCTATTAAGACTCAGGTTTGGACTTCACACTCTTTTTCTTAAACCCTGCAATTGACTCTAATTTCCCTTGATATTATGTGCTGTTATTATCATCCTTTATTGATTGGCTGTCTGTTGTCATTTATAAGGATATAAATCCTCTGTTATAAATTGTGTAGTCAGTCCGGCATTCATATTAATCAGCCGGAGTGTTTAGACTGCAGGACAACCTGCAGTGGCCTGCTTGTCTTTATGTAGTTCCTAAATGCTCAATGGTGGGTAGACATAGAAGAAAAACTGGATATTTCTTATTTATTTTATACCAGTGTTTAATAGTAGCAGTAAATAACTACTTCACGGATGCTGCTATCTCCTAATGAATGCCTTGCTGGGTTTCTGTGCAAACCACCAAAGGCATATGGCCTGTTCTAAAAAAAGTTTGAAGCTTTTTTACGTTTAGAGTTGAAAAGGGAGGCTGGTTGGTATCAAAATCATTTGAAACTGGATTAATATCAAGTCTCCATATGTAATGTGCTACTGTCCAAAACTCTGCTCCTTCATCTTTCTTGTAGTTGGGAAATGACAGGAAAAGCCAGTGGCTGTTTCTTGCTCTGGAATGTCCTTCCTGAACCAAACCAGCAGGAGTAAGAAAAAACCATGTGTAAAACTGCCTTGTAAATCATATTCCGATTTTAATATGAGTGGAGATAAACGTCAAAGACACACGCTCCCATCCGTCCCCCTTTCCTACTACCACCACCTCTATTCTGACACGTATTAAATGATGTGAGCTATTCTGGCAAGAACCTGTCTGTCTGCAGATGAAAAATACCTGAAACACCTCATATTAATTGTGTGCTGCTATGCAGTCAGAGCCTGGCAGGAAATGAACACTGGGAGCAGATCAACCCATTGGCGGGAGCAGATCAGCACATTGGCATCTTTGTCATGGGGAATATTGCCTGGCCATATAAGCTGTGGATTTATACCAGAACCTAGTCTATTAATCCCTTATTAGTCCTCTGGCATTGCTTTAGCCACTGATAACTAATCAGCTACTCAGAGTTCTTCAGAAATCACCAACTTCTAGAATGCAGCCAAACTCGCAAGATGCCGAAAGATCTAAACTTGTAGAGAAACTGGCACATAACGTCAGATAAAATGTCAGAAAGACTTACTGGCAAAGCATTGAACATCCTAGCACCGGGGTCAGACAGTTTGACTGTCTCTAAATCTCGAAAGTATTTTCAGAGTGATATTCAGCGTAATCCTTTGATGCTCTGTATATATAGGTCTTTCTTCATCGGAGTTTCTCCAGCTGTTCCTTACTTTGATGTTACTTTTCACAGGGATTTGTGCCAGCCTTCTGCATAGGGCAATTTTTACTTATTTAAACAGCGTCCTGCAGGACTTTTCATTGCCATATGAAAAACTGACGTTTCCCAATACCTTTTCATATAAGAATAGCTTTGTGAGATCTATAAACATCTTTCTGGATGGTGACGGTGTTGTCTCTGCTCTGTACTACTGGACATGTTTACCTTTTCCTGCAGGTTGATTTGAGAAAGCGGAAGCTTCCGTCCTTTACTTTGGGTCTGTCCCTTTTATCTTACTAGCATGAATACTTCTGAACTTCTCTCTCTTTGAAAAACTCCCACTGCTCCTTAGATTTAGGCAAGGTTTATAAGCAAAGACATAGCTTTCGTTAGGCTCTTTGCATTGTTAACCCACTTTTGTTTCTACGTTAAGTGCTATGTCTTTCTTTTGATGCATATCCCAAAAGCCAGTCTTATGTCCTAAAGTTCATAGGTCTCAATGTGTAGTTTGATATTGTTTTATTTTCCCTTCTGTGCTGTGCATGGACACCTTGAAAGGCCAGGAAAGTCTGAGTAAAAGGCCCTTCCTGAATAAAAGAGCAGGAGAGTCACCAGACTAGGGAGTCTTAACGGCATGGAGAGAAGGATAAAAACAAGATGAGTCTGTTCAGCCGGGTCCAAAGTAGTTTCTTCCTCAGGCAGTAGGAGGTGAATCAGAGAAATTGATAAGAACGAGACAGAAGAGCTAGAGAAAACGCGGTTAACTGAAAGCTTCCTACTTTATGTAGGAAATAATCTTGAAAAAAGAATCTCTGAATAAGGAGTGTCCTCTACAACCATTCAATTTTATCTCAGTGAAAAGAGATTTCCCTTAGTTTTCCCTTAGGTTTTCTTGGCAAAAACATCTTAGAGATCCTTTGGGGAACCTACCAACAGCCTTGGAGCATCCATGGCCATTTTGGGCCCAGGTGCTCCTGTGCAGAAGCAGGTTGGAGTTGTAGTGGCTGGATTTTGTGCATCTCAGTTTTATTGCTGTTTGGTGTCATTTGCCATCTATTGCCTTTCGGGTTTTTTTAAATGATTTCACAAAGGTTGTGAAATTAGCAGTTGTCTCAGTGAGGCCGCTGGCCCACAGCTCTTAATAAAGACGTCAAATCTTGTCCTTGTGAGAGGCGTGCAAGAAAGGAAGAAGGCATTTCCCAGCTGCAAGAAGCAAAACTCATCAGCTAGTGCCAGATCTCACACTACCGAATTTCAAATATCGGCCTGTGTAGAATTGCAGAGACCGCTTTTTCTATGCACCTGCTGCAGTTCATAGCACAGCAAAGGATGTCAGCCAGGGGCGTAGGGGAATAGGCTTCACGGGAGGAATCGCGTCCTTCTGCGGCAGACTCTCCCCACCGCTCCCACTAGGCATGTGCAGCTTAGCACCTCAAGCCAGTGCATTAAAGGAACAACCAAATCCTCACATAGAGAAAAACCTGCTGTTCCTCGAGCCTGCCTTATTGAGACATGGAAGCTGCCACCTCAAAGGTCAGGAGCTCCGGAGGAGTAGGATACTTTTCTACAAGCCTCTGTTGAAGATCTATATTTAAGACCAGTAGTCTGGCTGTCAGAATCTCTGCGGGGTTTACATGCTATTTGCACATAGCTAGAGACAGAATAATTACATGTACACATGCTTAACCTTAATGTCTTCTCTTCTCTCGGTTGTCTCGTCAGCAAAACCCTTTTAATGGCTTTTATCTAGAGTGCTTCCATGACCTTTTCTACTTAGAATGCTGTGCATTAACTTGCAGTCCCGGGGGCTGAGCTCTTAACAGATTTCCAACCACGTGAACTTGATCAGGAAGAAAGTAACAGTTGGTTTTGTCTGACCAATTTGATCTGCAATTGCGAGATGACTCCCAGGTGGGTCTCCACTCTGAGATGGTTTAGGAATACTTGCAAATGTGAGGAAGAACAGGTTTAAAAACTGAGCATGTAAATACTTGGGGATTACTCTTGAAACACCTATTTGACATTGGTAGCTTCTGTACCGCTTGACAACAAGAAACTTGTAGGAAGAGGACAGATATCTACCACTAAATTAGAAAATCCTTTATGTGGACAGTCGCAGTTTCAGTAAGTTACTAACCATGATCTGGGAAAAGTATTTGAGTTTTGAAGTGACCAGAAGGTCAATTCTGATTTAGCTTCCGTCAAACGTCTTTTCTTTTTTTAAATGCAAAACTGTTCAGATACCCAAGGAAGTCTTTAATATCAGGACATAAAAGGAGAACTTTATACTGGCACTTTGAAGTAAATTTGAGATTATAACGCCATATATAATTACTGATTAAAATGTAAAAATGTATTATGTCTTCTGCAGTATAATTAAGCTCCTGCATATCAGATGGACCATGTTCTTTCCATCTTTTAAATGCATGCACTGAGATGCAGATGTTGATTTTTCAATAAAGATGTCCAAAGAGGAATTGCAGTATAAATCATGATTTCCAACATTCTGAAGGTTTTATGTTTTCTGTTCATAATTTTTACTGTTTTTCTTCTTGTAGCAGGTACTTTTTGTGCTATGATGGTTTATTCCTGTTTCAGGAAATTATCTCCTAATGAAAGAAAAAGATTTCCCTTTTTAAAAGAAATAACTAATGCATTTGGTTATCCACATTTCTAAAACTGTAGTAAACCTATCCTCAAGTGCTTGCCTGGGCTTTTTTGAGGACTAAGGACTGCAAATGAAAACTTTTTCCTCTCAAAAAATTTGCAATATTTTGAATTGTATCTAAAAGACTCATCAGACCCTTAGAATGAAATCCTTGTGATATTGAAAACACTGGAAATCTGCTATTCATTGTACAGCATCCATGGGATTCTCCACTAAAGAAAATAATGCCCACAGAAATGAAGCAGCAACGTGCATGCTAATCCGTGTTTCAGGAAAATGATAAAGGCAGTGGGAGTATCCTGCAGGGACTGGTTGTACCATGAACTCTCAGGTCACCTCTATGCGTTTCTTATGCTCAGGGAAAAATAGAGTCTTCCCACCACTGCCGAAGTTCTGCACTTCTTCAAGTGTGGCTGTCAGTGGGCAGCACCTGGGTTTCTGTACAATAATAGATTTTTCTGTACAATAATTGTGTTACAAAATCAACTTAGCACATATAAATAGAGTTGTAATGTAGCAGAAGGAAGAGCAATGGGTGGAGAAGGACGATGCTCAGCTGATTTAGCCTTCCTGACAGAAGGAGATTAATCTATCAATGATATCCAGGTGACTTTTTGTTAACAAATTAACTTGAAGGCTTCTGATACAATTTTCTTCTGCAATAACAAATCTCTGGCAGTTACAATATCTGAATATGCAAATAGGCAGGAAAGTAAGAATTTTTATTTTTTTTTTAAATCTTATTCACGTTAACTGTTAATTACATGAAGTATTGCACACAAAAGCAAATTGAAATACATCTTGTGGCTCTCATAATAAACAGTTTCATCAAAGAACATGAATAAGAAAAAACACGTTTAGTAGGGGAATGTAGAGTAGGGGAATGTAGCCAAAGCGGCTTGTTATGACTGTAGAGTGACTGTAATATACATGACTGTATATCAGGATGATTCAGTGAATCTCTTAACTACAAAAACTTTATGGTGTCTGCAGGTCATTAAGATAATATTATAACCTTCCAAAAGCATACAGGGAATTATGATACATGGCAGGAAATAGGATCCAGATTCTAATGAAAATTTAGACTAGTATCAGAAATTCTAGTTTTAGAACTCAATAATTATGCATAGCTCATAAATTGTGACATCAGGTTTTAAATTAGAGCAAGAAAATTCTGAGTAATACGTGGTTTCTGATGTTAAAAAAAAAAGTGCAGAGCTAAATTTTCAAGCCATGGTAGACATCAGGGAGTTTTAGTGTGACACAGCATGAAAGTGGATGTTCTTGTCATTTCAAACCTGACATCTTTGAGCATTTCTCCATTTTTCTGTGTTGATGTTTCTAGGTTGTGGATGTCTTTGATAAGTGTACACTGCCCTAGCTCTGTTGACTGCAGTCTCACTATAGCTTGTACACGAGTTAAGAATAATGCCCCTTTATGTCTCTTTAAAACGTAGCTTTTGGTGGAAAAAGGGGCATTTTTACATTTTTGAACTTAATGTCTTGATTTCTTCTCCATACAAAGACTCATCTTCCAAAAGTACTTTGAAGCTTTAGAAGTTTGTGACCTGTTTTTGAAAAGTATGGAGCAAACCACCATTTCTCAGTGGAATTGTGGATACTTTTCAGAAGCATAGGTCACTGGGCTTCGGTCGAAATTTTCCCTTGGAAGCAGAAGGAACAAAGCTTTCCAGGCTTCAAAACCACTTGTGGATAGTTCCTCTTCCATAGAATACAAATGCACATGGCTATCAATAGTAATATTTTTGAAGCTTTATTAAACTTATTTTCTGGGATTCAAAGGGTATTAGTCCTTTTTTTTTATACTCAAATAGCAGTTGTTTTCTTAAACTTACTATAAGCTTGGTAGTTTCAGAAAAATAGACCTGTCTATTAGTATTCTTTCCTCTGAGAACTACAGAAGTGACATCCTAAAGCAGTAAGTTGAAGAAATTGCCTGGAAGGTATTTGAAGAGACATTATATTAAATGGCAAAATATTTAGGTATTACTTTTTAGTTGTTTGAAGCCAGTATGCCTTTGTTTCATGCTTTCTTTTGTATTGAGAAAACATTTGTCTAATTAAATACTTCACATAAAATGTTTATGCAACTTTTAGTAGATTAGAGGATGTATTGGCTCAGAGTATATATAATCAATTCAATATACATGAATGAATATCATATCAAGATAAAATGAGAACATCTCCAATTCCCAAGAAAAATCTTTATTGCGTGTGATATGACTGGTCCTAATTCTTTAAGCAGCAGTAAATAATAAACAGATGCTGTTGCCAGATTATAATTCACAATTTGAATTTTAATTGTGCAAATTCTATGTTTGCTTGTCTGATCTGGGGAATTGTGGTGAATAAACAGACTGTTGCCAGATTATAATTCACAATTAGAGTTTTAATTGTGCAAATTCCATGTTTGCTTGTCTGATCTGGGGAATTGTGGTGTATTAAAAGACTCAAGAAATTTCTTTCTGAAACTGTTCATTCTCTGTGCAGTCATGCATAATTGAAAGAGATGTGTTCACCTATCATTACCTAGCTTCTGTCTCGAGTCTTTATGAGCAACTCATCTGTGCAATAACCTACAGAAATCCTTTCGTCCCCCCCCTTGAAAGAATCTCCAATATAGAATGAGAAATTAACCCAATTACCCTTCTTTCCAAATCATTGCTGGTTACCATTTCACAAGAAGTGCATCCTTTTCTCAAGGTTGTTCTATTTTGTTTCCCTCTCTGCTGACTGGGAGCAGTGCCTACAGCTCCACCGCAGAATGTGCAAGTCGAAGCCGTGAACTCCACAACCATCCAGTTCCTCTGGAACCCTCCACCCCAACAGTTCATCAATGGTATTAACCAAGGTTACAAGGTAAGTAGAAACAAGATTTCTGTAACTTCAAATAACACTTGCCTTAACAGTCCTGGTATATGACAATTAGAAGTTGAATCTAATAATCTCTGAATCTCCAAAGTGCCTGTATATTTTCAGGGGTATCTTACACGAGTAAAATGAAGAGAGAAGTGAGCAGTTGTTGCTCCTGACGTTTGCTAGTTTATGTAAGTTCTGAAAAGGGGATATGTCATAGGCTAGAAGTCCTGTCGCTTACCTGGAGATATTCCAAAGGCAAAAAGCAGTTCAGTGTTTGGAAAGTCAGCAGTTTAGAAAGTCAGCACAGGAGATACGTCGTTGTGCCACTGAAAATCAACCTTGAGATTTCTATTTACTCTAATGCAAAATGCAAATTCATTTCATTAGGAACCAAGACGTCACACTAAATATTTGTCTTAACTTTCCCACTGTGATGATTTCGGAGATATAAGAATGTAAAATTTATTAATCATGCTTGATGACACGGAGTTAGCATGATAAGCCCTTGTTGATGGGGCAACTGGCAATACCTATTACAGTACACAAAGTAGAGAGTGCTTAACAGAGCACTTGTTGGTACTTTGACCAGCGGAGTGTATGCTAAGAAGGTAGCTGGAGTGGTTTATTTCTGTCTCTCAGGAAGGACGGCTTAATAGAAACTCCTTCAATGGTTCGGCAGTAGGAGCATAATAAACGAAGAGTTTAAAAACGTTCATGGAAAGAACAAAGAGAAATCTCGTAGGAATCAGAGAGCAGGAAAAGGGAAGATAGGTATCTTTTATGAGCAGGGAGGAGGAAGGTTGATTTAGGTGTTGGGTGAGCTGAGAAGGATGTGTAGTTCAGAAAACAAGCTGTGAATTGAGGGATTGTAGGTGGATTTTAGAAGTTTTGGAAGACTTGGTCCTTCTTCAAGAATTTATCAAGTGATGGAGAAACTGAGGCAGAGGTATGCATGGGAGTTTTAGTATTTTTCCCATCGATATATTTCTCATAAAAAACAGTGATGGTTTCAGAATCCCGCTGCTGAAGTACTATATACATGTTGATGGGTATGTCTTTTTCCCAGAGATAGAATCAGCTCTCAAGACGAGGTGACTGACAGGGCTGCAAGAGTATATCCTGAAACCTCAATACAAAAGTAGTACTTGGCTTCTGTTCAGACTCTGGAGAATAAAAGCACTTTTTGGGCTCAGTGGACTGCAATGTACTATAATTTTCTGGTGCAAGTCCAAGCATGGTGAGCTCAGTCAGATTTGCAAAAGTCATATTTCAGATATTTATTCTTTATTTTATTCAAACAGTTTCAGTCTAAAAATCCTTACTCTCATCGCATAGCTACTTCTAATTTATGTTTCAGTTTCTTTAGCAATAGTATAAAATAACTAAAATCGTAATTTGTATGTCAGTGGTCAGTGAAAACTTCTGAAATGATCAAAATTTCTCTTTCCTTCGATTTCTTTGATTGCAGTAGATTGCAACAGCTTTACCATTCCTGTTTCTCATAGGGATTGTGAATTGCAGTACAAAGACTGTGTGAGAACATTTCTGTCAGTTACTACTTTTGCATAGTTTTTTGTACGATTTATAAATTACTAGTAGTCAAAGCTAGGCCTTTGCTTTTCTGAAGGATTAAACACATTTTTTCCTTTAACTGATGGAATTATTCACCTTTATTTTCTTCAGGTTTCCTGAAGACTGTGCAATGAAATGCACTCAAAAAAGAGAAGTTCAGTCCTCCAAAGTTATAAATGCCAATTGTAATCCACAAAGGTGATTTAGAAAAGAAAATAAAACTTACTATTCCATCAACCATTTTCCATTTTTATCTTTTCTTTGGAATTTATTTGCATTTCAAGAAGTTGTAAAGTGCACCTTTTCAAATATGAAATATTCCTAACAAAATTACTCCTTATAGTCCTCTAGCTGTGCTTTCTGATTATCAGAAACTATAGACATTGGCTAAATGTGTCAAATATGGCTCATTAATTTCAGGCGTCTATTCATTCTATTCATGTTTATGAGCCTGAAATCAATACGAGTAGCGCAATTTACACAGATACCGAGTAAGGACTAGAATTTTAACATGCTTGTATAAGACACAAGATAAGGATTTTTGGACAAAATAAAAATTTCATAAGCACTTTAAAGCTTTAGACCCCTAAGCCATTAAGGCGATTTCAAAAATTACTTTAAAATTTCAAAGTCATTTGCCAAAAATGAATTTTTTAAGTCCTCATTTAGGTGCATACACATAAGGTACTCTACTCTAAAAAAATATTGATCACCCAGAAGATCCACTGAGATGAATGAAACCTGGAAGAACTGAGCACATCTGACACGCATGCTACTTTAAATGCATGAAAATATCTTAAGGAGTCAAACTTTTGGGACCCAGGTGTTGAAAATAATAGTAATCATCTTTACAACCAT